AATCCACGATAAGTGTTCGAAGGTTCCCCGGCACTGAACATTAAATATTTCGGAAACTAATGGTTATATGCGGCTGAAACAAATATCATTGGTTTATTTTTTAACCATCTATTTAGCAATTGATTTAAATAAATGCCTTGTTTTTATACCGGGGAAAGAAAAAGAATCGTGGCGAGATCCACTAGGCGTCGAACGGAGCAACCCAAAATGATTCATTCGGACGCCATTATCGGCTTGGATGGGACCTCGAGCTCGGGGGCTCGGAGGGGACCCAGTTTTGATTTCCTCCGCGGAACGGCGCGACCGGAAATTAACGACAAATCGAACGGTCGTAACGCGACCAGTCGACGGCTGGGATAGCTTTAAACCCGTTTAGAGAATCGGGAAACAATTATGGCGGGGTTTCGCCGCTCCGAGGGCTCGTCCGTCCAGCCCGACCCAATTAGACTCCGCGAAGCGAATTTACACGCGGTTTTCGGGTCGATCCGCGGCTGGTTCGCCGTTCGAAATCACCGTTCGACGGAGACCGCGTTGACCGTCTACAGAGGAAAAAGAAGAACGGAATGATCATCATCCCGAAAGGTACATAACGGGTCTTCCAGCCTCGGCGAACCCGAACGAACCGGTTACGATTCAGAGAGACACAGTAACGTGATTACTTTCGTTACCGCACGAGCAGCAAATTGAAATCGTTTACTACGAGACGAAAGACTTGCATATCTATAGTGACTTTAGGTGTGACACTGTCGGGTGCTGTGTGATATGTGAAATGTAAAGACGTTTAACTATTCAAGTATTTTTGCGTCATAAAAATATAGTTTTTTATTCTGCGTTTTTATTCTGTAGAATTACTGGACACTTAAGCAATAAGTAATGTAATATTGATTACGAAGAGATGTTTTTCTATAATACACTACATTATTTGGGTGGGTCTGTGGGACCCCACCTTACCACTTTTCTTACATTTCCCCGCCTCAGCAGCGCTGGGTTAAAAAAGAATTAACGGAGAGTAGTCAAAATATTAAATAGTATTTTAAATATTAATATTTCATTTTGGGTCGCACGCGACCCCACGGTGTTACTGGCGCCAAAAAAGTGGAAGGGTGTCGTTCTAGGGTTAGGTGCTCTACGTGCATGTATTTACCTTGCGTCGATGACGATCAACGAGTCGCCGCATTACGCGCTCGTTTCCGCGTTATTTGAATTTCATTAGCGACCACAGAGCCGTCGGAACCCCTGGAATCGTTTGCATATCGTAAATACAGACGCACACGTCAGCGTAGTGAAATTGCCACAAATTAATATCCGCGATGAATCGCAACGGTCCGCGGTACACTGGCGACGTCGGGACCAGGTTTGCACTGTAATTAGCAGCAACGCGAAAATGTTTATCGCACAGTGGTGCGGAACTAAAATTTAACAGCTCAAATGGTCGAAAAAAAAAAATGTCTTTTATATTCCAAGAAACTCAAATCAACTTATTACGGTTATCCCTCGATAAGTGCGACATGAGGAACGGCGTTATTCCCACCAGGGGGAGGGGGAGGGGGGTTAAGATTAGATTTTCTTCCATTTCGTAAGGATTTTATTAATCACAAGAATCAGACAGGAAATATATTAGATCTAATGTAAAATCCGCAGTCTGTTAATCAGTTCGAGTGAACGCGCGTTACCGTCTTCCTTAGAATTTGATTTTGAACAGGAAGGAACAACACTGGAAGTCGATAAAAAATTCAGAACCGGGGGACATGTAGGATGATGCAGAGCCATATCCTTTGCGTCACGAGACGAGGTCCGTAAGTTTGGCCCAGGTTTTTGCGGTCCAAGCGACTTTTTCCCCTACGTCATCCTTTTGACGTCAATCTCGTTCCCATAAGCGAAGCACACATGTGCCCGCGGTTTTCGTCCGTTCCGTACACGCGGGGGCATCGTCGGGAAACGATCCACGCTTTAAACGGTCAATCAAAATTCCACGGTGGCCCAGTTTAGTCTCTGATCGACGATCACACCACCGATTCCAGCCTCTGCAGCTCGTTGAAGCTTTCCGTGGCTTCTCGCCTGTTAGAATTCTAGTTTTGGTGTTTCTAATCTATCTATATTTTCACCAAAAAGATTTGCAATATTAACACGTCTTCACAGCACGGTGTACGATACAAGAATGAATTATTGAAAAGGGTCTTCCATTAAGAGGTGTCATTTTAAATAAAAAAAAACACTGATTTTTTTTTCTTGAGAATTATTGAAATATTTTTATTTAAATACAAAGCACAAAGTGTTTTTGTTCGTTACCAGAATTAATCCTAACAGTTTGCTGCTTCACGAATTCGCGTGGCACGGTTTTCTTCTGCCCTTCCCCTTAATTCGACCGACTCGTCCGCGGATGCAAATCACAACTCTGCTCCCCGGTGTTAAATCTGTGCTAACTGAATTCCCTGATAAATTCCAGCAGTCCAACCGATGGGGGAAACTTTGTTCCGAGGACGAAACTTTAGTTAGTTGCTCGCGGTGAGATTCCCCCCGAATGCAGTTCTCTGTTGCGTGTTCCCGTCGTCGGAAGCAATATTTTCGTTCCGGCGGAGGTGTCGCCGCAGGAACAGAGGCGAGACTTTTGTCTCGAATGGGAAAGAGGGAAAGGAACAACGGTATAATTGGAGCTCAATTTCTTTTCTTTGTGTATCCTTAAACGCGTCGAGCGAGGGACGAGCAAACGCGTGCCGAGAACAGTAATTACCAGACACCATTTGTGATACCTACGCTTCCAACGACCTACGCGAGAGAGGAACGCCTGTAATACAGGGTGGACCATGAAACGTGATAAGCTTAAATTATTCTACTGCTAGCTGTACGGCTAAACATTTTTTTTTACACCTTTCAAGGATAGCTGTAAGATGATTGTAACAAATTCTTTTGTGAACCCTTTTCTTACCAGAATTTTCAGTCACCTTCAGGTTTTTTTATACATGAATAATTTGAAACACGACCAACAGCCTCTATTAACAAAACGCATACATTTTCAATGTTTTATTACTTTAAAAAAAAAAAAATAAAGCGTGTCTGGCTACGTACAGCCTTTTTCACTGTGACAGTGGATGCGTTAATATTTCTGCCCCCTCCTGACTGATAACCTGGCTACACCCATGATCAGGATGTTCAGTTCCGATTCGATTCTTCGGAAGATCGATTCGTAATCGAACATCCCCACTCTGGATCCGTTTTTTCGTGGTCATTCGGGAATATGCCTTCGATCGAAGGGGATATCAAGCGAGCCGGCGTGTCGGGATCAAGGCCGAACGTTCCGCGGTCAGAGCAGCGGTTCCCCTAATCGATCCACTCCGAGAATATATTTTTAGACCGAGATCTCTCTCGCAACGGATTCCTCGTCATTCGAGCCAATGAGTAATTTCACTTTCGATCGCCTCTGGGTCAAAGTTGGAAGAAAAATGAATCCCAAATACGATGCAACACTTGATTTCATTTTGGAACCGTGTTATTCTACAGGGTGTAACAAAAGTATTCGAGAAACTTAAAATATCACACTCGTAAGATGATTTAGACAAAGTTTTTCCTTAGTAACAATATTACCCGAGGCTTTGTTAACGAGATTCAATGAGGTTTAGCGTATCGATAGAGCTTGGAATTCTGAAGCCAATGATGTTTGTTTCAACCGCGTACGACCATTAGTTTATGAAATATTTAATGTTCAGTATCGAGGAGGCTCCGAACACCCATCAAGGATTTACTGTACTACTGTTTCTTCTCGCTCCGTCTCGTCGATCAGAGTTGGGCACAATTTTATTCGAATGATACATTCTGAAAAGAAACAGTAGCTATCTAAAATCGACAACCCTGACCTTTAAATATTTACCAAGCGTGTCTATTCATTCTAGAATTAATATTATTATAGGAGAGACCAGAGACATACGTAACAATTTTTCTGTTTGAATCTGTAACTTTTGAAAAATCCCGACCAATCAGCACGAGAGTCTGTTGGCCGAGCTCTGATTGGTCGGGGTTTTTCGCAAATATCTCGTTAACGAAGCCTCGGATGACATTTTTCCTAAGGAAAAACTTGTTCCAAATCACCGCACGAGTGACCCATTTTAGGGACCTACAATACTTTTGTTAAACCCTTGTATAAAAGAAGCTTCAAGGACAATCCTAAGTATATCCAGTTCGCTTCCATTGTTACGTTTCAAATGGACGTGTACCGATCGATACCCACCCGCCTGTCCCGAAAACGGACCAAGCACGGTGCGCAAAATTGGCCGAGAAGCCCTTCGGGCAACGAGCTCTTTCTCTCCGTTGTTCGGCTCCGATGTCAAGGACTTTCCCCGATGTAATTAGCATGAAGTGCGCGCGCGCGCAGGGTAAACTTCAGCCAGGCGCGACGGGCTGTGTTCCAGCGCGGGAATTTTCGGTACAAAAGCGTTGTTCCCGCGGGACATTCGCCACAGATCGACTGAAATACCCTGTCCACCGAGGGCCGTTCCCTTCGAGAGGGCTGCGCTCGTTGAAACGACCGACGAACACGGTATAACAAAAGGTCCTGGAAATATTTCTGTTAAGCCTGGATTTCCGTGTAAACGCGTGAAAAAAACGCGTTATTCGGAATTAAAAATACAAGAAAACTTATAACACTTATAAGGGAAGGCACGGAAATGTCCCCCTCCGATTTTGACGAAACTTCGTGTGTTTGGTAAGCAGTGAAAAATAAGGGATACGTATTTTTTTTTATCGGCTGAGACGCGACTTTAAGGGGTGAGACCAGCCCTCGAAGTTTCGATCCGAAATTTTTTTGTTGTAAACAAATTATATTTTGGACAATTTATTAACACCATATTATTCTACATAAAAAACCGCAAACCTCGTACGATACTTTAAACTTTTAACGGTATACTCTATCGATGCTATGCAGTCAAAATATGTGCAAACAAAAATAATTGATTTTTTGAAAATTTTACATGAGAATGTACCCTTAACGATTATCCGTCTGTTTGCAGGACCGTCCCCGGATTTCAGTAGGCACACACTGGTCAGACCGCGGGTCTATCACGGTAGGACCAAGCGGCAGATCTCGTCGACCAAAGAGAACGTGAGTACTAACCCTTTCTTTCCCTCGATCCTGCTCAATCGAGATTGTAATAAAAGGTACAAATGATCTGAGAGAATGTATTGTTATAATAGTTTAATCATCGTTGCAAGAGTGTATTGACAAGTCATTTTGACTTGCTTGGTAGTTCTAGTGTTAACAAGGATAGGTCCCCAGGTGTAACGCTGACTTTTTAATGGGGAAATATTAATGTACTTGAATTTATCAAATCATATTGAATACGTTTTTTTTTTTTTAAGATCAAGAATTACGGTCACAGTGAGCAAATTCGCTCGAAATAAAAAAAATTACGGTCGTGAATGAAGTTAAATCACGATCATGATCGTCATTCTGCGATCACAGTTTTTAGTTGCATCGTTTTCTTCATGTGTGCGAACTTGCATCGAGTGCACCCACAACTTGGAATGCTACACGTTACCTGTCGATGGGTGCAACAATTTCGATGCAAATCTCGGGTCCCGTCGCGAATACGAGATCTAGGATCGGTACCCGCGACGACGCCTACTTGCTCGCGAGGGTGGGTTCGAGAGGTCGCGGGTATCGACGCCGATAACGCCCGAGAATGTTCAAAAAGTTTCAGGAATTTATTTATAAAATCACAAATACAATCTTATTCATCATAAATCTCATTATCCCCATCAAAGCAGGGACTTAAACCGGTATGTTTAACTGGTAAGGGCCAGAATTCCTTTCGTTTCTGGGAAACTGTCGATAACAATGTAATCCAGGAAACTGTAGACGTCAAGAAAATCATAAAGCAAGGGGTTAAACCCTGGGCCCTTACCAGTTACGCCAATGACCGACACCTTAAAAAGTCCGTGATCGTAGCGACCTCTACGCGATGAGAACGGTGAATCTGCGGTGGGTAGCGACACTAAAACGGAATATAAGGCGACGTCGTCCCAGAAAAATGGGCCGAAAAAATATATTGGATGAAATGTCTACTCCTACACCTCGTCTATGATATCGCGAAAAGAAACGAAGGACGTGTCGTGCGTATACGTCTCGGAGTGTTCTTTACGGCTAATACCTCGAGGAACAGATGTTCCAGAAGAGAAACGTTTTGTACGAAGCTATTTTTGAACCGGCTACGATGGATCCCCTTAAGAGTGCTGCTGCTGGATGATCGAAACGAACCAAGCAAGAACGTCGACTGGGTCGTGTTCTTGGAGGCATTCCCCGGTTCCCGAGGCGAAGAGTTCGTGAGTGGCGTACTGGATCGAACGTAGACCAACGTGATTCGAGCCATGGATAGTGTCTGTGCTGGGTAAACAAGAGGTGGAGAACCGTGGGCGCAAACTTTAGAGTCTTTCGACAAATGTTCCAGGTGTTCGTTAGCTTCTTTGGGTGTTAACCACGGACACCAGACTGTGGAAAAATAAATACACTCGGGAACACAACGATCAATGAACAGATAATAAAAAAAAAAAAGGATCCTCGATGGGAACTGGACTTCTGCGTGTCTGGAATCGGGGGAAAGAATACGAGGAGTCGTAGAAATTGTGTCGTGTCTATGATCATCCTAAACAGGGCTACAATTCTCGCGGCGTCGACGAAGCTAGGCAATTGACCTCGTTTTGTCGTTATCGCGGGGAAAAATGAACCGCTATCAGCGCGTCTGTCCCCGAATCTAATTTCCTGTTACCTAAGGCCGACCATCGGTCGACCGGCGAACGATCGACATCGTGATCATTCCCCTCGCAGTGGAGTGTATGATCATTCTCTCCACGAGAGTATCTTCCAGACAGGCGATAAGTGGCCGTCTAGAATCGCGTCAAATCACACACTCTCTGTACTTAAGTTCTCACCGACTGTGCACGGAGTCTGAGGTTATTTTAGCAAAGCTGCGCCTGGAGAGTGTGTCGCTAGCTCGAGGCATCCCCCTCGCGATAAGCTCATTTCGTTCATTCTTACTTACTAGGGTATGTGTACCAATTACGGAGGTTTTAAGCCAGCTTGCGCAATCAAGTATTTATTAAAAAATACTGCTACATAAATTTCGTATTGTGAATATGTATATCAGTTGCTAAACAATTACTTTTGATAAAGGAATTTTTTTTGAAATAGCAAAAATTAAATCTTTGTAATGTATTTGATTAAACAAAAACAGATGTTTTTGTCTGTATTACGGAACCCTTTTAGTAGCTGCAGATATATTTCGGTACCCCCAGTTTCGGAGCCTGTCCCTTACATCCCTTACAGCCTGTCCATTACCTTAACCTAGCTTTTGTGAAGTAGGAAAATTTGTTTTCCTCTTTATTATAGAGGGAACGATTTTTACTTAAGAGCTTGACTCATGTTGTTACAGATTAGGTCCTACCTACTTATATACAACGACCTACAACGCGCTTCACTTTTGGTTTAACGAAAGAAAACCACATTTATGAATTTTTCACACTCAAAGTCACACGAAGGTCATACAATCATAAGTCATTGGACTGACTTTGACCTCAATTATTACACCACACTGATAAAACTATGTAATTCCATTTTAAAAAACCATTTATGGCCTTGAAATTTCGAAAAAAAAAAAATGACCCTTAGTAAACATTTTTTACTTTCATAGTATCTGCTCCTTCTAACCAAATAATACTTTCCCTCGCATTTTTTTGGTATTTTTTTGGTACCGAGCACAACAATGCCCTGAAACGTATATTCTTCGATAGATAAAGAGGATTAATAAGATGGAGCTTCCCTGTCGGTCTGGACGCCGGGCTTTCAAGAGGGTGGTTTCGGTACAAAATAAACCGCATCCCCCATAGCCAACGAATCGTGTGTGGGGGAGGGGGAAGCCGGAAAAGGTGCTCCTCGATAAACTCTCGACGCTGTTTGCCCCGGTTTATCCTGCACCCGCCTTGAAACCACTCGACGATAGTTCTCTCGGCGGGTGTAACCGCCCAGAGAGAAGGAAACCGCCGGCGGGGGTAAGGAGATCGTGTGGATTCCTTTTATCCCGCTCCCAGCTAGCGTGTTTTCAGCCACAAAGGGAAATGGAGTGGTTCTTCTATCGGGCGGCGTGCACATCTAGGATACAACTCTACGTCTCGACCGATTATGTGACCGCCGCTCACGGTCTTTGCCGAATAAATTCAGGGAGAATCGAGACCGATTGTATTAGAACACCGTCGTTTCCATTGAATTCGATTAACCGTTTTGCTCCGTAACGTCAGAGATTCTGCATCGGAACGGCTTCTTCGTCGAGCACGGAGAATAGTCGCGGTGGGAATCTGCATGCCGCGATACAGGGTGGAACGAGTATGTTGGAGGACCCGGAAATGGGAGACTCGCGAGATGATTTGAAACAAATTTTTCATTCGCGAAAATATTATTACACCCTGTATAGGGCTGGATATGGGAAACGCAATTTTGTGAAACCCCGAGGAAGTTCGTCGAGCACAATGGAAGTTTCCACGTAGATTGCGTTAATCGTTTGGAAGAGAGTGGCAACGGGGTGGAGGCGGTTTCTTTGGCGGTATCAAACGCCACGAGGATGCGGAAACGACAGTTCCGTTTTCCTCCGTGGTACCTCTAGCCCCCCCCCCCCTCTGCGACCTAGTACGTCGAGATTAAAAGATGCCTTTCATCCTATGCTGCACCCACAAAGAGCTCCTCTGTACATGTTACCATCGTAGATTGTGTGCTACGATCGTCTTACCGCGAGAGTCTCCTCGTCAACCGCCACGCCGATTCCTAGAAAATTCGCCCTGCGAAAATAATCTATTACGCGCTTCCTAACTCCAAACGGAGTATAGGCTCTCGATTATCGTCTGGCTTGTTCTACACGATTATTGTCCAAGTGTTATCCCCATCACAGGGAGGCATAGAAATTATCAAGTGCAATTGTCCCGATCCTCGGCAACAAGGCAACACCCAGTGGCGGGGATAATGCCTTGACAATAGTGGAATAGAACAAGCCAGACAATAATCGAGTGGAATCTGTACTTTGTTGCCGAGGCTCAGGATTCTGGCAAACAAACGAATTTACGAGGGTATGAAGAAGCGTTCCTCCCTACAAGTTCAAAAAGAGCAGGGCAACTTATTTTGCTTGTTTTGCAACTTGTTCGTTTCACTTCATAAGGTCGTCTGTCTTGAAGAAAAGAAAGCGAACAAATTTGTGTTCGAACAATGTTTTTCACACTGTTGAAGACACCAAGCGCGGATGTCGATGATCCCCCTGGAGAGCTGGACCGTCGAGGAACGGGCCAAACGGAAGCCATTCGGTGGCCCATGAAATTGAATCGTAGCATCGATCGGGAATGTAACGACCCTCCGTTCGGCGAACAGCAACTCCAGCCACCTGGTCGATTTAAATACGCCAATGACCCGCGGAGCTTCGCGATTTTAATTGCAACCGGAGGATTTGTTCGTTTCATTGCCCGCGGAGGGATTCATTGGCCGATACGGACCCTTGCGATGGTGATCGATCGCTCGACAAACGGCGCGTATCTGCCGCAGACGATCGAACGCAAACACGGATGGTGCTTTCCGTTATCGTGTGATGTGCTAATCGTTTTCTCTTCTTGGATAAATTCACGGTGGATTGTGATCGTTCACGATCACGTACGACGCGTATTTGCGATCTCGTTGGACTTTAAAGATACGTATAATCAATAAATCGTAATCAAATCACTCCTTCGGAACATAACCCTAAGAACTTTCCGATTCGTTATAAATAAAAAAATCAATAAAATGTAGCCTTTACGCAATCGAAAAATGGCGGGAAGTATTGTAAAAAGAGCTATGTCGGTATATATATTCTAAATAAATAAATAAACATTGTTCGGCACCCGGAAGAAGCGTCTTCCCGGGTTCCTCGGGTCGTCCGCGATCGAAGAATTCCACAATTCCTTCCGCCCAAAAAGGAGGCTCCGTGACAATGGTTCCAGGGGCGCGCTTGTAAATGGGACACGAGAGTATGACTTTTATGGGAGTTGCGTCGAGAATCTCTCGAGCTTCCCTTGGCGAAGGGGAGGAACCCTTCTTCTCTCCAGTTTGTGTCACGGTGATCCTGCTAACCGAATTTCGGGTGGGAGGAAAACTCAAGCCTGAAGCACGCCTGTCCGCGATCGATAAGAAAAATGTCCCATCCCCGCAGTGAGATACACACCACGAGGAAGCAATATCACCGAAGGGACCAGGCGATATTTCGTCGTGACGATAAATCTCAAGACGATCCGGACGCCGAAAAAAAAAGAAACCAACCGTCGGGACAACGAGAAAGCAACGGGGAAAACGTTCGATTCGACGATTGCAAGGGCTGCGATTGGTGGTTAGCCCCCGAGGAGGAAAAGCCCTGACCCCATCCGGTGCATTCGTTTCTCTCACCCCCTGATATCGACTCGGAATCTACAGGGTGTCTCAAAACAGTTGTACGTCCTTGAAAGGGGCGATTCCCGGGGTTATTTCAAACAACTTTTTCCTTAGGGAAAAAGTTATCCGAGTCTTTGTTAACGAAATATTAACGAAAAACCCCGACCAATCAGAGCGCGAGTCTGTCGGCTGTGCCTCCGCGATAGCGCGTAGCCGTTACCGCGGGAGCTCAGCTGACAAACTCGCGCTCTGATTGGTCGGGGTTTTTCGTTAATATCTCGTTAACAAAGCCTCGGATAACTTTTTCGCTAAGGAAAAAGTTGTTTCAAATCGCCCCAGTAATCATCCCTTTCAAGGACTTACACTTATTTTGGGACACCCTGTATAAGCTGGGCGCGCGGGGTCACGGCGGGAACGGTTTCTATATAACTGAAATATCGAGAAACGTTTCCCGTATTGGCGGCCGGCCAGGTATGGATTGCTAACTGTCGGACGACGACGATGATAGAATCCGCGCCGAGAGAATTCCCGCGGATCCATCTATCCTCGATCCCGGCTGCATCCTTGCCCGCGTGCACGGAATATCTGAAACGCGTACCACTAGTGATAGGATCGATACCAATACTATTAATGATATTCAATCGATTCAATACCCAAAATGCTCAGTGGGATGCATCAATATGTATCATAACTTTGGGTGCTTGGTATTAAGTATCACTACCGACTCTTCTTGAATCGATACCAATCAAATAACTCACGGGTAGGCATCGTCTACCGATACCTATGAGTCACATCACTAGCCACCACACATAGGAGAAAATCTCGTAGTTTTCCCGTCATAGGCGACCAGGTTAGAAATTCGGGTTTCTCTCTGGAAATGCGAATAGTCGAGACTGTCTGTCCATGAATTACAAGCTTTTCTTTTTAGTAATCAAAGCCTTTGCATGTTTATTGGCTGGTAGAAAGCCACGCAATTGCTTTCCGCTCTCATTGAACGCCGTCTCTCCTGTAAGAAACGGTCGTTATGTTCGTTAATTAATCGGTAATTAAGAAGCACAAGATCGTTGAATATTTTTTTGGTTACATTCCCCAGCATGGAACGCGAATACCCTCTTTCTATTATTACTATAGTACTTATAAATTTTCGATAAAAATAAACATTTATATCCAGTTCAATTATACAATAAAATATCCTCAGAATTGCAAAGAGATTGGTTTAATAATTTCTTGACAAAAAATTCTCAAAAATTCGTTCATTTTTAGCCCGTTTACACCAGACTCCCTCCTTAACGCCCCGGCAAACGGGACCATAACGACGCGTTAAAGAGACGTCGTGAGGACAGTCGAACCCGGACTCGCTCCAGGAAATCCTCGAGAAACCTCCGCGTTCTTGTCACAGAGACCCTTTCGCCCGTGGCTGCCACAAGGCTTAATACCGTATTCCTCGAATACGCGCGTCGTCACACACACATGGTCCGTGATATTTCCTGTTCGGAGTGTGGAAGTGGGACGCCCGCACGTCCCCCTATGAATTAAACATAGGACGGATTCGAGGGAACGAGAGAGGGCGCAAACGAGATTCGTAAATTCATTTGGGTGGCTGACTACGGCACGCGTCCCCTCTCGCCCGTTCCAACGAAAAACCCTCGACGTTTTCCAACGGGCTCCGAAAACGAATATAAATGTTTGAAACGAAGTCAACTTTTCAGTACGCGTGGTCGATCCCTCGAATCAGGAACGTGGAAAAAACGAGCGCCGAAAGTTCCGAATGCAAACCGTCGCATCGGTTCCGCTCGTGGATTTCCCGTCGAACACGCCACGAAATCTTTAGAAAGCTGATCGTTCTCGCGATTCCCCGGTGGAAGTATAATGGGTTTTTATCGTCGGACCGTTAACGGAGAAAGTAAAGTAAAGCAGCCGAATATGAGACCCATTTTTTTAAGCACGCGTACTTCTCGATTAAAAATACGCGTATCGTTAGCCCAGCTACTTGGAGATCGATTTTGAATTTCCTAGGGAATCGATTTCCCTGAACGCCCTCGCGGTTTCTACTTTTATCTTGATCCTCTCGGAGTACGGCGCGCAACGGGGCGTGCAACAGGTGCATAATGCCGAGATTCGAAACGATTATAATGCGTTCAAACGCCGATTCGGCCAAGTTTTATCGGGCGGGGGCTGTGTCCGCTCGATCGGAATACGGTTACGCGATAAGAAAGCAACGGTTAGGGAACAGAAATGGGAAAATTTATTATCTAGATACAGAGTTTCGAATAAATAGTGTACTTCGACATTTTACTTTCACTATGTATTGTTCAAGTAAAATTGTGCCCAGTTCTATCATAGAAGTTACAGACTCTTCTCAATTATCGTGTGGCGTGTTCTACACGATTATTGTCCAGGCATTGTCCTCACGATTGGAGGGGAGGGGGGGCTCGAGCTTCGGGGAAAAAACGAATTTACGAGGGTTTGAAGCATGACTACCTATAAGATTATTGTCCCGACGCGAAATCGAGTTCGGGACAATAATCGAGAGGAGTCTGTATATTCCGATCTGCCCTCCGGCTGACGGAAACGGACAGAGGCTACACAGCGATTAAATCCAAGACCTTGTTTTTCTTTTTGCTTTCAGGATATCGAGCACGCGGACGTGTTGACGGTAGGCTTCGAGCTGGACGGGGTGAAACGGGTTCTGGACCTGAGGTTGAACACCGATCTGATACCAATCGGGTACCAGCAGCGTCATCAACACCAGGGCACCTACAAAGTTCATACCCCGTCGAAAGTTGTGAGTACAATTATCAGAGGAGGGGTTACAAAATGAAGTTGACCTTCAAACGACCTTCAAAAGGTTTACCAGATAAATAATTAATAATGTCATTCTCTTTCTCATCATTCTTATCTTTGAAATGCTTTGTCCTTATGATATTTCCATTTGTCAACTTAAATACCACACCCTGTATTGTTTTTTATTTACAATTTAATTTACAAATTTTGTTTGAAAAATCAAATCCACGCGAGCGAAGCCGTGGGAAAGAAAAGCTAGTCCTTTGTACCGTAGACTCTTGTTGGTCCGGGTCAGGTGTCCATTATTACCTTCTGGGAAGATATCCATGCTCGTTGAGGGGATAATCGAAAACGGACCGGCTGGTGTGTAGAGCAATCCCCTTTCTCCGTGTCGTTTATCTCGACACGATGGGGGCCGTGTATCGACGGCGAACATTCCCAATTTCGTTTCCAGTTATAGCAGACAAAAACACTGTCCCCCGGGCACACACAGGTGGAAAGAACATTGGAATCGATAACGGTGACTCACTGGTCCGAACCGTGCGTTTTCAGGACGGACAGAGTTAGGTCTCGGTTATACACAGTGTATAGGAAGACACTATAGGACACGGAGATAGACACGGCCGTTTCGAGAGAGTATCGATCACTCTTAAATACACGTTGACGAGCAACGTGCACACATGACGCGATCGAGGCCGCCGACGAGCGCGATTCGCCTTTTGTTCGACCACTCCCCGAAAGCGTTCTTCGTCCAGTTCGATGAAAATCGTGTCCATCCATAGGTAGGGATGAATCGATACAAGTACATACGAGTACATTATTCGATACTTCGGTTTCGATACCGAGTATTTTTGGTATCGATACGTACGGTTGCGATACCAAGTGGGTATCGAAGAAAAAGTACTCGTATCGAATGGAGCATCGACCCATCGACATTTCGATATTGTGATTACTTTCAGCGCAATACGTATGTAAATATTTTCAATATTGAAATAATGTAGGTATATGATATGTGTAGGTCTCAGCTTTCAAAAATGGTACTTTCAAATATAGAACAAGTTTTCCGAACAAGTTGGTATCGATACCTTCATACAATACCAACAATGAGTCAAAGTATCTATACCTTGTTGGTATCGATTCAACCCTACCCATAGGGGACACTGAAAAGGTATTTTTTTGTCACGAAACCTTAGAAAAAAAAAGATCGTGCACTTATCCCAGAATCGTTTCGCTAAAAGATCTTCTTTCCCGCCTCAAGAAACGGGAGTTTCATCGTCCACGATTTCTCGGGCCTCCTTCTCGATTCGTTCTCTCGAAACGATTCATATCTTGGCAAGATCCATTAGTATCATCGCGTGCGCCGTCGTGAATCACCGTCGAGAAATAACAACCCCCCCCCCCCCCCCCTTCAACACGATGTGTCGCGAGCCGTTACCAGGAAATAGAAAAATCCTTGTCTAGCTATGTAACAACGATTCGAGCAGCGACTAGCATCGATAGAACATTTCTTTTTTCCCCCCGTGGGACGTTATTCACGGTAATATAGGCACGCATAAAGCATCGAAATCGACCAGACAGACAGACCCGTGTTTCATCGAGCGAGTCGTCGGGAGTTCGTTGCGCTCTGTTGTCGCGCGGTTCCACATTTTACGCAATTGAATAAATGAATTGGCACGTCCAGAGTTGCCGTCTCCGTTTCTCCCTCTGTCCCTTCCTTCTCTTTCTCTCTCTCTGGTCTCTTTCCGTCCCGTTCTGTCCCACGGATTATTCGAGTTCGCCGTTGCGCGCGACAAGCGGACGAGCTAATTTCGGTCGTTTAAATGAGGGGAAATTCTGCGAATCCAACTCGTTAGACCGGCTGTTCGCCGCGGTCTCGTGGCCCGAAACGCTACTAATTATTGCCTTTTGTTCCTCCAACCCTCTCCCCCAACTCCAAAAGAAGCGGAGAGGGAAGGGAATAAAGAATAGCAAGTAAAAAAAAAAAAAATATACTTATCAGGAACGCTACATCCTGGACGGACAGAACAAAAAAAATTAATTAAATCAAATCAAGATATACAAGAACATAAAAGTACTAAACAAGAACTTAACTAGTTGTAGTAATGGCCAAATGACCATACGAAAGAGAAAAATAACCAAATCTAGATAAAGAACCCTATAATAAAAACAGAAATAAAGAAGAAGGATGAGAACGAGGCAGTAATAAGCAAAAGCTCTTAAACTAACGGAAAAGAAAGGGAAACAATTAAACCCCCCCCCCCTCCCTTTACCCTCACCTCGACGTGAAAAGAAACGTCTCGTCGAAATTGAATTCCGTCGAACTAGAATCGCGTCCCGTTCTCGAACACGGAGCAAAAGCAAGATTCGATCTTTCCGGCCCGCGGCGAAACTTCAGGCGGTTCCGCTTCGCGGCACAGGAGAGGAACTCGAGGAGAGAGTGGTAGTCGCCTCAGTGATAATCGACCGATAAATCATCTTCCGCGTCGCGCGAACCGGTGACGTTTGCATTTCGCGGAGGTGCGCGGGCGCGCGCGCACGCTTTGAGGCGAAAAGGAGGAATACGGAAGGCGCTAAAGGATGGTTGGCCCGACAGAATCTGGGCCAACTATATTTTTGGCGGTCGGTTGGACGCCGGGGAGACCCCGGGGAAAATTCATTCTCGAGTTTCGTTCGCCATCTGCCTCGAAGAGATCATTCCCCTACTGGCTCTAACTTTTGTGTGATGTTTATTCCCTCTTTTCCATAATGTTCGACGGGATTAACAATGGGAAACCGTTTTCGTTGGAAATTCACAGGAGATCTGTCACTACCAAGGCAGTGTTCGAGACGTTCCCGGCTCGTGGGTAGCCGTGTCCACCTGCAGAGGTCTTCGTGGCGTTGTCTTCGACGGGGAGAATCTTCATCACATCCATCCGGAGAGGGAATCTTTGGACTCGGACCACTACGTCTATAGGCAGACCGATCTGGCCGCCAATCACACCTGCGGTAACACGTCCATGATAATCGTTCTTGATTCCCCTTTGCTGTACAGGGTGCACCACGAAACGGTGATCAGCTTAGAGTGTTTTGTTACTAGCTGTTCGATCGAGATTTTGAGGTAGTTGTATCAAATTTGTTGTCGACCCTTTTTTTCTAGAGTTTTCAGTCACCTTCAGGTTTTTTTTTTTATAGATAAACCTATCATTTTTTTTACGAACATCTTTTAACGGATACTGAGACGGATTCGGCAGGTATCGTAACAAATAATTTTATTTTTCGTTGTGAACCAAAGAAACTTTAAGAAATGATCGTTTACCTTAATTAAAACGATGTTCAAAATGGTGTCCAAAAAACTAGTCCTATTTATGACGTAATCTTATAAATAGTTATCTTACAAAAATAGTTCCATTTATGATAATAGAATAATCTAAAGGTGCGTATCCACTTATCGTATCACTGTTGTGTACTAATGTAGACGATCAAGCGTTGTAAAATGTATCATACGGTGATACGATAAGAGGATACGCACCTTTACCTTTCGTGATCCACCCTGTATAATGCCATCCTGAAAGCCTAGGCCTAGACCTTGAGAATCCAGCACCGTCCACGTGCCCTCAGTGTGCAATCCTTCCTCAGCGTGTGATAGAAAAGCGCGGGAATGGAATCGGCGCGTTTCTGGAGCTGATGTGTATAGTCCCCTTCCCCCCCCCCCCTCTTTGCCGACCGTTGCGTCGCGGGCACGCGCTCCTTTCCCGGACACGGAGGACCCGGTCTCGCGGGGACTGGTCTCTCCTTAACGGGGTCTTAACGTATGTGGGAGCGAGATTCAGCCGGCTCCCTTTAGCCTCTTTGTCCTTAACTTTACCAAGAACCCGACCGATGATCGGTGGTTTTTTGTTCGGCGCAGGTTACGAGGGAACCACGCACCATGTTCTCGGCCGCGAGCACCGGGGGATCGTCAACAGAGCCACCAGGGTACGAAGCCACGGATCGTTTGTTCTTTTACTTTAACTTAAGGGATCGCTCGAGGGGATATATATTCTTAAAGTCACCGTTAATCGAGCACAGAGAAGAGAAACACTCTATTTTTTTTTTTTCTTCTTTTCGTTTCATTACGTGTAAAACTCCATTCCCATCCGTCGATAATTGTCGAGCATCATCCTCCTCTGGTAGCGTCAAACGGGCCCATAGACGATACGATTTCTCGTTACAAATGATCCTTGTACAACCTGGGTTGCTTCGACCGTCAGGAACAATGTTGACCGTCAAGGACTAAAAATCTGTCGTCCTAACCGTCTGTCCAACTCCCTATGCAATTTGTCCCACTACAGATCGTATCGTCTATGGGAATCTTTACTCTTGTATGAAAACGGTTCCACGCGTTGGACGAATTCCTACTGAGGTCCAGAGCCAACGATTAGAAATAAGAATTTTCTTGCAGCACAAGAGGGCCGCCGAGGTGATACGAGGGCCCTACAACGCGAACAGACATTCCCGGTACGTGGAACTGGTCCTGGTGATCGACAAAAAGGAGTACACAGCCTTCGACGAGAACCTGGACAAAGTGTACCATCACTGCAAAGATATCGCCAATATAATCAACGCGGTTAGTACACTCTTCAACGACCTGATCGCTCGAGTTAAATGCTCGAAGAAAAGAAGAGCTGTGAGAGTATCTCTGTCGTGTTGCAGCTCTACATGCCGCTGAACATATTCATCGCGCTGGTCGGCGTGCAGGTTTGGTCCGACACGGACGAAATAACGCTTTCCCCAAACGGGGACACAACCCTCTCGAATTTCCTGCGTTATCGACGAGAGAAGCTGGTCCAGGATATACCGAACGATAACGCCCAGTTGTTGACGTAAGTCGAGAGTATACAGGCTGTCCCAAAATAGCTTCGACTCCCGGAAATAAGGGGTTCCTGGGATGATTTGAAACAAGTTTTTCCTTAGCGAAAATGTTATCCGAGACTTTGTTAACGAGATATCAACGAAAAACTTCGACCAATCAGAGCGCGAGTCTGCGGGCCGATCTTCCGCGGTAGCATTGGCTATCAATCGCAGCGCGTAGCCAACGTTACTACGGGAGTTCTGATTGGTCGGGGTTTTCTGTTAATATCTCCTTAAAAAAGCCTCGGATAACATTTTCGCTAAGGAAACAGTTGTTTCATTTCCGGAAGTCGAAGTTATTTTGGGATACCCTGTATAACCGTGGAAGAAGTATCATCATCTCGACGCGTTAATCGACACGGATAAACCTGGAGAGAGAATCACGGTCCCTGAAACTTTCAGGCGGATCACTTTCGAGGGCGGAGTGGTCGGAAAAGCGCTCAAGGGGCCAATATGCACGTACGAGTTCTCCGGCGGCGTCTCCATGGATCACTCGCACGTCGTGGGATTGGTGGCCGCGACCGTGGCCCACGAAATGGGTCACAATTTCGGCATGGAGCACGATTCCGCTGACTGCGAGTGTCCCGAGGAGAAGTAGGTCGAACCAGCAGTCTATTTATTCGTTTTTCGCTCGTCTTCGCGCACCAGCTTTTCCTCCTGAGACCGACGCTCCATAGAAATCCAAACTCCACTTATCCCCGGCCATCAGTCTATTTAATTCAACGATTTTAATCGCCTTGAATTGGGAAACCTATCATCTTACTGAACCTAACTGTGTCATCTTACTAAACCTAACTATCTTATCCTACTAAACCTAACTGTGTCATTCTACTAAACCTAACTATGTCATCCTACTAAACCTAACTATGTCATCCTACTAAACCTAACTGTGTCATTCTATTAAACATAACTATGTCATCCTACTAAAACTAACTATATATCCCACAAAACCTAACAATATCATCCTGCCTTCGTCCAGTCTCCATTCCCCATAGCCAAAGGTCATCATATTCTCAGATATCCTGCGTTCCTCCGCGTCATCACCGCGATTACCGTGATCACGAGTAGCAGCGTCTGATCGTTCCCTGAACAGGCTCGATCCCATCGTGATTCCAGATGCATCATGGCGTCCTCGAGTGGTTCTTCGGGGCCTACCCACTGGTCGACCTGTTCCCTGGAGCATCTGGCTCTGGCGTTCGAGCACGGCATGGACTATTGTCTTCGGAACAAACCGCAGAAGCTGTTCGATAGCCCGATCTGTGGAAATGGGTTCGTCGAGCCAGGCGAGCAATGCGACTGTGGGCTCAAGGAAAACTGCGACAATCCCTGTTGCAACGTGACCACCTGTATGCTGCACACCAACGCCAGCTGCGCGACCGGTGAGTGCTGCGACCTGAAGACCTGTCGGCCAAAAACCGCGGGCACCGAGTGTCGTAGCGCCGAGCACGAGTGCGATCTGCCGGAGTACTGCACCGGGCAGAGTGAGTACTGTCCCGTGGACGTGTTCAAGATGGACGGCGAAGGTTGCAGCATGGGGAAAGCGTTCTGTTACCAGGGCTCTTGTCGGACCCACAACGATCAGTGCAAGCTGCTCTGGGGTCCGACCGGGACGTCGTCGGACGCACAATGCTACGAGATGAACAACAAGGGCACCAAACACGGGAACTGCGGCTACAACCGGGTCGAGTCCAGCTATGTCAAGTGCCACGACGAGTAAGACGGATACGATCGCATATTGCGCGGTATACGAGGGTGTACAAAAAAGATGAGTACCCCAGATTGACTCGGAAAGATGACGTTTACGCTAGAAACGTTTGATACAAAGGTTTTGAGTTCAAGTCTGATGGTGACCTTAATCATAATATACATATAGGGGTTAAATTTAAATCATTAGGTACTCGTCTTTTCGATACACCCTGTATATCGGTATAGAAAAGAGGATACATTATATAACTGTAAATTTCTTTCTGTGGGACTTTCAGAAATCTCCTTTGCGGGATGCTTCACTGTAAACACTTGAACGAGAGGCTCGAGTTCGGTATGGAATCCGTCGCGATTCTTAGTCACTCGTTCATCAACAACGGGGGGAAGATAATACCGTGTCGATCGGCCATCGTCGATCTGGGTCTGAATCAGGTTGATCCTGGCCTGGCCCCGGACGGCGCGAAGTGCGCGCCTGGCAAGGTAAACAGAGAATCACGATAAAGTTCCAACGAACATATGGACTCATTTATCGAATTCTTCGCCAAGTGCTCCTAGCATCTAATATCTACGGCGGATCGTTCCATAATAAATTCCATGTTATCCGTTATATTCAGATGTGCGTGAATCAGAAATGCATGCCGGTAGCCGATCTACGCGCCTCCGTGTCCGGTGGGAAAGCTTGCCCGAACAATTGCGGTGGGAACGGTGTGTGCAACAGTTTGGGCCACTGTCATTGTAATCGTGGCTTCCGGCCGCCGGATTGCACCCAGCCGGGCGTTGGCGGTTCCGAAGACAGCGGTCCAGCCGAGGATCCGAATGGTGAACCGATCTCGTTCTATTTACCTGCTGCATTACTGACCTATTATCAATCTGTTCTAACCGGTTCGCTCTGTCGCGTGTCTGTTACAGCGAGAAACGACTTCATAATGGCCCTGTACATTATCTTTCTGGGGATCGTACCGATGGTCGCGCTGTCCTCGTTCGGGGTTTGGTACGTGCGTAACCCGGGCCAGCACTGGAAGAAGGGCATGATGTCAACGTACGTATCTAGTTTCGATCGTGTTAAAGAGAAACGCAAGCAACGACCGCATGCATATCCGTCGTCGCGCGGTGCCCACGTCGGTCCGACTGCCCCCTCCGCCGCTGCCGATCAATCGGGTCACGCGATCGGTAGACAATTCTACGAGAGGGTGGTGATCTTCTTCTCGCCGCGGCAGGAGAACAGGTCCCGCGACGCGAATCCGATATTCACGATCACCGACAATCTTCCACCGAAAGAGAAGCTTCAGATCACGAGAGCGGACCTGATCTCGACTACTAATCCGGACGCAATTAACTGCAGCAACAACATCGAGTACCGTAAGTCGATGTTGCTCGGGAACGTTGACTGTCAGAACGGAGGCAATCGAAAGTCCGACGACATCGAATTCGATCGGTCCACTAGTGCCGCTGTCGCTGTTACAGCAGCATCGCCATCCGTAGAATATCGACCGAGAAAGAACTCGCTGCGAACGGAATTGGGGTCAAAGATAGCGGAGCGTATTCAACAGATGCAGAAAAAACCCTCGAAAAACATCAAAGGACTCACCCTGAAAACGGAAGTGAAGTTCGAGCATTTGAATGAAAGCCCAGGCGGCGGCGGTACGGACGCGACCGCCTCAGGCCATACGCCGAGGACAGGTGAACCTCTGCTACCGGTCGAGAAACCGTGCCCGAAGGCAACCGCTCCGTTTTACAATAAAAAGCCACCGCCCCCGCCGGCTCCGGCTCAAAGTCTCAAGCCAAAGATCTGACCTGTCCCATCTCCGTTCTCTTGTTAATTCTTTCATTCACGAATTAACTCCGCATTTAACACTGCGTATATCAACCTGAACGATCACCGGATCGATAACAACAACCGGTTTCCATTTAGTGCGAGGGTCATAGCCGACATGTCTCCAGGCTGACCTTGTTCAAGCTATGACCTTTGCATTACGGCGACAACGAGGGTTGGGCAATAACGGTGGCGGTCGATCGACATTTAATCCTTATTTCGTTTTACCAAAATGACATAGATATTCTTTTTCCACTGTGATTTTTACGTTGTAATAGCCTCGAAATAACGAATACTTCGAGCGCCCCGGGACTTTCTCGTTCGAATGGGAAACGTATCATGTACTTAACATTAAGTATACGTTAAGTGCCGAAAGTAATCGTCGGGCACCGCGCGCTACTCGTTAGGCACGAAGTATACCGTGTCGAAGTGTTTGAAACCGTTTAAACGATTGTGTGTGTGTGTATGTTTATAATTTTTTTTAACAAGCACTCGGACAATGGAATGATAATAATTCTATATACATCGTTAGTCGAGGATTTTATTATAGACACCGTGCAGTAATAGGATGCGTATTACGTCATACGGAAGTATTACCAAACAAATGGGGTGATAATAAAGTAACAGAGAACGGTTCTCCACCGGCACGAACGGCGGGAAAACAGAGAGAGAAAGATTAAATAACTCTCCGTTCGAAGCAACCGAGGAAGCATAGATATGATTTAGTTCGAGAGTAAATTATATTAGGTTGAGAACCGTGAACGTAGAGCATGCCTAGAACTTGATGTGACACGAGCATGAGCATGTGTAAATCTCTTTTTCGATGGCTTCTGCATTTTAAGTTTATTGAATTATTTCACTTTTGATCGAGTCAGTATTAACGATCACTTTAGTATCCTAAATAAATTGTTTGTTTTTTTTTCTTTTTTAAAAAAAAAACAAACAAGAAAGCACGTACATTCGATTACTTCCAGCGAGCAACGATTCCGGTCACTCGCTAGGCGTATCTTAGATAACCTGCGGAAGTTGCTCGCCTCCCCACAAACAAGCCGAATGGATTGTACAAGTTTGTTCAATAAACGTGGTGTTTTTACACACAAAGTGTTATCAAGTTTTCTCATGTACATAATCAAGAAAACACACTTCCTTCTTCCAACGAGCTTGCCACTAACACTTTAATCTTCTACTAACGTTTCCCAGCAAGTTTCGTCGGCGACGTGTTTTGCATGCGTTTCATGGAGTAGTCATGCTTCAACCCCGCGACCGAAGCCCACGGATGCCTGGCACGTGTGATGCACGCGCGGTTCGAGCTAAGTGTGAGAGCATGCCACTCGTGCCCCGTCGTTGTACTGTGATTTTCGCCCAAGAACGATTTCGACACCTGCCACACTAGCGCGCAAACACGCGACTCGACGACGACTGTGCAACGGAACACGCGAGAACGTCGAGATCGTTAGCGGGTCTATAGCTTGCGCTTAACAACCTACCCTAGCTCCTCCTCGGCTTACACACTTGTGCTTAAAATTTCAGGACCGATCGCGGCCACAATGGGCTGTCCATCAAAACGATCGATCGTTCCAGCCCCTTGCCCCGTAACATCGAAACGATCGATTCTAGCCTGAGTCAGGACCCGGCGTGCGCGAGTTTGTTGCCGAAACCGGAGACAGACGAGCGTTACAACAATAATCTGTTCGGCCAGTTCAAAGGATTCACGATCACGCCTATCAAGAGTCAAGCGAAGAGCAACGAGCCAACGAAAGCGGCCCCACCGCCGCCAACGATACCCACGGTGGCGATCAAGACCAACATCAAGACCCTGCCGAAGAGCAATCCACCGAGGAACTCTCTGTTGAACTCGACGTTCAGCTTCAACAACGATACGTCCGTCACGGCGCCGACGTTGCCGCCGTTGAATCCAGGTTGTACGGCGCGTCCTCTGATCAGCAGCCCGGTGTTAGCTGCCACCACTTGCACCTCTGTGGAGTTGGTGACGCCCAAACCACCCGTCAGACCAGGCCTGGACGCGCCAACCAGGCCTGCGCCAGCCCCACCGATCCAGTCCGATCTGCAGAAGCCACCCAGACCCAACAGCACGCCGTTGACCAACGTTCTGGTCCCAGAACCAGAGAAACGGCCTGACAAAGGGAGTACTCTGAACAGGCTAGCCTCGATGCTTCGACCGAATTCGGGGATCATGAAGACGGGGCTGCAGGTGTCGCAGAAAGACGAGAAGAACACGAACTCTTTACCAAGATCGCAGCACCATAAAGCGAACAAGGTGATAGACAAAGAGATCCTGCGAAATCTGGAGATCTCTAATCCGATTCCTCAGAGGGAGATTGAGATTCCCACGCCAGCGATACCCGTGGTCTCGGTCACTGACCCGGAGAAGAAGAACGTGGTGTTGCGAGCCCAGTCCATGAGGGACAGCAAGATCACACCGCGACCGAATATCCAGACGTTCGGCTCGATGCGTCAAACGACCCCCGTAAAAAGGCCCACAAGCATCCCAACGAGCACAAGACCAACGGCTCCCCCACCTGGACCACCGACAGCCACGAACCCAGCGGAGAAGATGAACGAATCAGGGAAGATCCCTGGACTACCGGGGTATCAGAATCCTCAGGTGAAGACCGCGAAGAAGGTCGACAACGCTTACGACGACTGCATGAACCTAGTCTCGGAGTCACCGTTAACGAAGATCACCGAGGAGTCGCCCACCAGCGACAACATTTACGCGGTCATAGAGGAGGCCATACCCGAGAAGAGTAGGAAGAATCCAATTGAGATGGACCAGCAGCGTATAGACAACGAATACAAACTGCCTAAACCTGTGGTCGAGACGTCGGCCAATACGATTGCCGGCATGGAGTCGATGGGTCTTCTATCGGAAATCGTGTCGGAGATATCGAACCGGAACTTCGACTCCATATACTCGACCGCGACCCTGTCACGTAAGACGAAGGAGAACGGAGAGGCGGCAGCTAAGAACGCAGAGGACTTAGGGTCCAACAGCTCGTTGGGCGCCTATATGAATTCGAACCACTACAAATCGCCCGGCAGCATATACTCGAACTCCGCGTCCGGGAAGTTCAATTCGTCCAGCTCGACGACTAGTTCCGGTTACCTGAATCCGTCGGCGTTGAACGTGCCGCGGCAGGAGCCGAAGAAGATCGTCGGGGACGCGAAATCGGTCGACAACAGTAAACTGGTGTCTTTGAATTCAACGAATCCGAACCTGAACGACGATATATCGAAGGAGCTGGGCATGAAGCCAGCAGATGACATCGCGGTCTGCAAACCGCTCGCCTCGCTTAAGACACGATCGACCCAGCGAGCCACGACCAGCCCGAGAACGAATGAGGACACGGCGGACGGTAAAGAACCAACGAAACCAGTCCTAGGGAGGACTAAGACGCCACCGAGTATCGCGAAAGGCTCGAAGGACACGGCAACGTTCAGATCGAAACAGCATTTCGAGGGCGGGTCGAAAGGGTCCAGGCAAGGATCGAACGCAAGTGCAGACGCGACAGCTGCGCAAACTGGTGGTGCCGCGGACAAACAGGAGTCTCCCACGAACGTTAATAGATTATCTTTGAAAACTGTGCCTTGTAGCCCTAAGGATAACGGGGGGAAGTTCAACAGTCCGGATCTAGTGTCCAGCTGTTCGAACTCCAATCAAATCAGTACAAAATCGCCGGACGTTCTTGGGAACAACGCGAAGTTCCACTTCCAGCCGAAGAACGTTCAGAAGTTGCCCTTGCTGCCTCGCACTGGCGCTGGAAAGACACCGTCTACGCCGTTGAAACCGTCGAACGTCGCGTCGAAGACGACAAGTGGTCTCACGGAGAGGAAGAAGTCCCCGACGACTGGCGGCGTGAACGTGACCAAATCGTTCTCCACGAAAGAACCAACCTCGAAGACCGTGCACGCGAAATCTGGCCAGAAAACGGACACAAAAACCGGGGACACTGGCACGAAAACGAACCCGGTGCAAAGAGCCGCGACAGGCAAGTCGAACGTGGCGTCGCTTCAGCAAAAGTTCGAGGCCAATAAGAATGTGAACGCAACGAGGACAGTGCCGCCTGGCGTGCATAAAAAGACGGTCGGGAAAACGACGGAAACGGCGGGTGTCAAGAAATAAAACGACGACCACCGCGTAGGGATCTACTCGAAATATTCTAGTCCATCGGTAAATTCAGACGTAGTTCCAACGATATGTCTACGGTTCGAATTTATGTAAAGATCGTCTGCAGAAATCGGTATATAGTACAATGATCGTCAACTTTTCCCGCTCGAACTGTTGAAAGGAAGGGAGAAGGACGATTGTAAAGCTTTCGCGAACTGTAATCTGTAATTAGCTGTCGAGATTCCGGAGTACAATAATCGGGTCGAAATCGACCGGCCGCTTCGAATGGGCGATCGAATTTTGTTCCAACCACAGCCTCGATACCCGATCGTGTTAGACACGTAACTCTAAACAGGGTGTCCCAAAATAATTGTAAGTCCTTGAAGGGGGTGATTCCTGGGGTGATTTGAAACAACTTTTTCCTTGGCTAAAAACTTCTTCGAGGCGTTGCTAACGAGATATCAACGAAAACCTCAACCAATCAGAGCGCGAGTCTGCCAGCTGAGCTCTGATTGGTTGAGGTTTTTCGTTGATATCTCGTTAGCAACGCCTCGAAGAAGTTTTTAGCCAAGGAAAAAGTTGTTTCAAATCACCCCAGGAATCACCACAACCAAGGATTTATATCCATTTTGGGACACCCTGTATACAGACGGAACGTGCCAGAATTGTACACCATGGTTACGTTGAAAATCGCAACAGCGCCCGTGTCGGGGTTGCGCCCCGTGTTTTTCCAGGGACAAGCCTGTAATTAACCACTGTAAATAGTAGTTACTTGAAAATTCTAATATTTTTTGTAGAAATCAGCCAGAAAACTACCGGGCACCCGGTATAATGTTCCGGATACCAACGATCGTGTCGGAACACATGTATCTTAAGAACATTTTTGTAAAAGAGACGATGAGAAAAAAAAACGTAAGGCAACGATTTATTTTCAAAATGTTCACGCTCCCGCGATACTGCAAGAGGAAGCGCGTTAAGAAATTCTTCGACTCTGTGATATACGTGTAACGAAAAGATAGCACAGAAAACATTGTACCGTGTATGGGTATTGTTAAAGAACAAAAAAAAAAAACAAAGAAAGAGTGAGAGAGATACAAGATAGCAGATTAGAGGCGCGACCAAAATTTATCATTTTATAAAAAAAAATGAAAGGGAGTAGAATGTTTTCAGGAACGGAAATTAGTCTCAAGAAAATCATATCGACGAGGAACTCGTTCTCCTTCCAAAGACTTAAGCGCCGCTAACAGGTCCACCCTCGTGAACGCGATGACAGTTTGTATCGCGATTAACAAGCGAACTTAATTGTTAGTTTCCGCCTAGAGAGAACCGCAGGATTTCTTCAGCGAGGAAGTACGCTGGAGAGTATACAACCGTAGGATTATTTTTGCTTGAGCCGCACGACAAACCTCGGTGGTCGTCACATATTACGTTTCCACGATTCTCTGCGAGTAGAGTTGCGTCTCCGAGTGTATACAATGCGCGTGTCGTCACACGCGACACGTAGGATCGTGGCCGACCACACACACATACACGCGTATCAGTTTCGGGCGTTCGATATGTTCCGATCGCTGAATCTGACAAGCGTCGTTAGGAATACGCGAAGACTAAAAAAAAAAAAAAAAGAAGATATTTATTTGACTGATCGATATGTAAATATGTTTATAATGTAACATAGTTGTAAGTCATATTTTGTACAATGTACCTTCGTGCTCGCTAAGTTAATTCGTCGATTCCTACCCCTTTCGAACGCATACACCTGCGACATCGGCATTTAGCTTTTTAACGGTGTGTCTCGTTCGATTTGTCGTTAAGCATTTGCCTGTACAAAAGAAGAAGAAAAAGACGAAAGAAAAGAAACCAACGGCAAACAAGAAAAGGGAAAGACGAGGAAAAGGTTTTATTGAACGATACGGTAGTACAGACTCCTATCGATTATTCTCCAGCTTGTTCTACACGATTATTGTCCAGGCGTTATCCCTACCACTGAGGGAGGGGGTCGTGGAACCTGTCAAGCGCATACTTTGTTGCCCCACTGCTTTTGATTACTGTCCCGGCGCGGACCCGAATTCGGGACAATAATCGAGAGGAGTCTGTAACGTTTCTCTCTGCATTTATCGATTCGAACGGTGCAATATCTTTCACGATGTGCACGTTCGCTTGTGTACGATTGTTCGCTTTTTTTTTTTTTTCATTTACACAGTTCCTATGTACAGTATGCATCGACGCGTTGAAATTTCATAAATAACCGCACCTTGAGTTCAATAAAGCTTTTCGAAAAAAAAAAAACACTCGAGCATTCGCCGCGTGTCGCGTTTGTAGTCGCTCACCGCTTTCGTTTTCTCTGTTCCTCTTCTATATTCTTCTGCTGTAAAAGACAATCAGACGTTCCGTGCAGCACACACGACTACATAACGACGAGAAATGTCTTTCCGAGGATAAAGCCTTGGCCCAAGTTCGATCCGTGAGAATATCATTTACCTGTCAGGATTGCAGTCTATTACGGTTAAGAGACATCTGTCCTTTATTATGTTCGGTACCAAAGATGAGTCGCGCGTTTTACGTGTTAAACAGGCCAGGATCTAGACTACTTAAACGTTGTCTCGAAAACTTGTACATTTCCCCAGTCTATGGTAACGTTACAATAAATTCTTTATTCCACGCATGCAATCTCTGAATCATTGTCGCTGGTATCGGTGAATGAGGAGGTAGGGGATCAAATTGCACTCGGATGTAACAGACGCCATTTAAATGAATGGCTGAGGGACGGCAAAATAAAAAGATGATGAGGCCACTGATCCAAAAATTTCAAGTACGGAGACAGCTATGAAACCGTTCGTTTAGTATTCCGGTTTATTCACGTATTATACGTTTAAAATATTACTGACATTTAATTTACGAGTCGCATACTGTAATTTTCTTTTTATTAGCGTCTTTTCACTTAACATGTTCCGACATAGACACTCAACACGTGGTACTTGCGCCGCCAGATTCTATGAAAAATAGACAATTTCTGGATAGTAACGTTTACAATCTTATACGTAAAGTCAGGGACAGACAACGTGTTAATATTTCGTTTTCGCGGCACCTGCGCAATTTTGTGCGAGAAAGTGGAGTAAGTAAGTCGCAGTAAATAAGAATCAACTATTACAGTATAGTCAGCATGACTTCGGGAAAGGTAATTTATCCGAAATTTATCTTGCTGAAAACTGGTTCTGAATATATAATGTACGTATCCGGTGGAGGGTAAGTAAATTGATCGAGAACTAAAATATGATTCCCCTTTTTTATCTTAAGAACTTAATTGGAGTTAAAGAAAAAAATGTGGCTACCATGAACCTAATCGAAGAGTTTGGCCAAGTGGGAGAAACCTTCCCCTTACCACATTTCCCTCCAATAAGATTCGTGGAACAGACGAACAGACTGTGTGTGTCTCTGGAAAGAATGAATTTACTGCTACGTTTGTGTATATATTATCGTAAACAATATCGTTTTAGGGACTACGAAACATCGGAGATATACGTAAATCGCGCGTTTAGTTTTTAATATTTTTACAAATTGGAGATTCTCTCCAAAACATTAATGTCTTGTGAGCTATGCGTCGCGACGATGGATTTCAGTTCAATGTGATCGTAAATTTACGAGTTCGTAAGTGTTTCTTCAATTAACGCTGTTATTGATCCTTGTCAGTGACAATATTATGAGCAATCGACACCGTGTGGACATAGAAGACCGTGCATTTTCCTTTGCGATGACCGTACACGACATTCTGATTTGTCAACGACCCGATAACCTCACAATTGTTTCGTACGCGGGGAACAATTTCAAATAATGGTTGACAGACTGAAATCATAAGGTATATTCACGTGCGATTCTTTACTCGTAGTGCTCCGTTGTCATCATAAAATAAAGTGCACACTTATGACGTGTAACGTTACAATAAATGTTTCGTGGGATCGTTACATGATAGAAAAATTAACTTCAATTTACAGCGTGTCACGGTTTTCGGTTTCTGTATGGTGAAAATGGCCCATGCAACATTGCCGAAGCTCATCTGTAAACCGACAAATACATCGAACATGTGTCCCACGAATATTACTGCGACAACCGCCTTATCCGATGTGAGTTTGACATTTACGGTACACGCTTGTATATTTCATTACTATACTTCGATTGTATTTGTAGGTGTTAAACTCGGAACCAGTGAAAAGACTACTTAATCAACCAAATATCATTATCAAAACGATCCCTTTAGACACTAAATCAGCTTCCGTTTCGAAAAGTGTTGTTGCCCGCAAAACGAATAAAACTAAATCGGGTGTGAAGGAATCAAAGCAGTCCAAATTAAATACACTTCCGTCAGAAATTGATAAAGAAGAAAATAAAGAAGATGAAAATCTGCTACCTTCTAAGACAAAAGGTAAATCAGAAATTACTCTAGTCCCTATTAAAAGAGAAAAGAAGTCTTGCGGTCATTATGAACCCTGTGAACACATTGTGTGTGATGTAACTGTACATCAATATGTAGATCGAGAAGGAGCATCACCTATGTTAGCCATTAACATAGAAGAAGATGAAATAAATGCACCAGTTTCAAAACATTGTAAGAACGAACAATGCGATGCTCTGAGCATTGATCATGACTGTTGCCGTAGGGCTATGGTAAGATTATACAGGTGTAATCAATCAAAAGCTTGTGACATTTGCGGTATCGAGCTACAGACACGGCGATGTCGGATATATCATAGACATTGCACAAGGAAAAACGAATATAGGCATAACAAAACAGATAGTACAGAAATATTAAAAATACGAATGCGTGAGAGGGAAATGCAACTGACAGAAACTTCTATGATGAATAAGAAATACTATATAGATCCTGCCCGAGCCATGGAGACTCTAAAAAAGAATGAAGAACTAATTATTATTCCACAGTCAGTTCCTGCACCACAACCACCAGTTTATGTAACAACTCCATCTGCTACTGAACCGGCTAGCAATGTAATCAACATTTTTGGAAAACTTTTCTCTAGCATACCAATTGTATTACCGCAGCAAAGTCTAGTTCTTGATAAAACACAAAATCCTAACAAAAATGGTATAACTAGGCCACTGCAAGTAACTTTGCCCAATACTTTTAATACATCGTTTATACCAACAACAAATGCTGTTCCTTTACCTCAAAATCAATATTTTACATTTACAACGCAAAACAATTCGCAGCCGATAACGTTGCAGGATTTACTATTTACGCAACCACCAGTTATGAATACACCTATTCAACCTAACGTAACACCCATACGCGTTGTGCCTATAACTAATTTAATAACGCAACCGTCGTTATTACATCAAACACAGGGTATACCAAGGTATTGCATTATGGCTGATACTTCTCTATCAGTACCACTGACATTAGCAAATCCACAATCCATTCAACAGTCAACAGTACCACTGACTGTAACAAATCCAGTGTCTGTTCCACAAGCGATAGCACCATTGACTATAACAAATCCAGTGTCTGTTCAACAGTCGACAGCACCATTGACTATAACAAATCCAGTGTCTGTTCCACGGGCAATAGCACCATTGACTATAACAAATCCAGTGTCTGTTCAAAAGTCAACAGCACCATTGACTATAACAAATCCAGTATCTGTTCAACAGTCAACAGCACCATTGACTATAACAAATCCAGTATCTGTTCAACAATTGGCAGCACCATTGACTATAACAAATCCAGTATCTGTTCCACAGTCGACAGCACCATTGACTACAAAAGATCCAGTATCGGTTCAACAGTCAATAAAACCTTTGATTGGAGCAAATCCGCAACCTGCTCAACGATCAATAATACCGGTGACCGTAGCAAGCCCACAACCTATTCAACGGCCAACACTCGTGCCAAAAGGTGATCCTCCAAATGATTCTAAGGAAACGTTATTGCGAAAAAAGAAGCAGATAACGAGAAAAAAACGCAGACTTAAAAAGAAAGAGTTCAAATGCGATTACTGTCATAAGAGTTTTAGCACCGATTGGTATTTCAAGATGCATGTTGCCATGCATACAGGTGAATCGCGACATTCTTGTGAAGTGTGTAAAGAACCTTACACCAATAAATACGATCTGAAGAAACACATGTTACTAAAGCATAAAGGAGAAACTATTCAGAATAATTATGGGAAACGTAAAAAACAATATACAGTACACTCTTTTCGGTGTTTAGACTGTCCTATGCAATACACATCTATGCAGGACTTAAAGTATCATAGACAAAGGATTCATGGAAGAGTACAATGTACGTTATGCCATGCTGAAGTTCCACAAGATGAATTAATAAAACATTTTGTATCTATACACAGACAAACGAAAAGGAGTGCAAACATGAAACAAGCAATCGTTGAAAACGGTAATGTTTCCGATGAAACGTACAAAGCCAATATTTCTTCAAACATTGTAAAAACTGAAACAAACAATATTAACTCACAAAACTTTGAAGAAATTAAAATAGAATTGAACGATGAAGAATACGACATTCCAATGTAAACATTCATTAAAATCAACATAAGAAAATTATTATTGAGATTGAAAGTATATTTGTTATAAACCTTGAGTAAGTCAAGTTGTAGGAAAGAATTGCTTAAAGATTGTAATTCTTTTATAGATTGGAAGCTTAGGAAAATGCATTATATGATGTAGTCCATCAAAGTTTATTTAAAAATATGTAAATAGGAATAAACTTCTAATTATGGATGTTACGAGAAAGTCATTCAAAAGATTTAAAGGCAAAGTTATATTTTTCAACAAAGTAACGTGCTCTGAAAAGTTTTAAAGATCACATAATGAATTAAATTTAAGAGTAATGTATGCTATTAAAGATTTTCGAACTGTGATACGTGACCATCTTTCCACTGTAATAGCTTTTCATTTGACATAAAATTTTATTGTTCAGATGCAATTATTGCGACTGTGCACACGAAGAAAAATGTAATTACACATATCTGAAAACACACAGCCAAGTAATTTCAATGAAAATAGTGCATAACAATCTAGAGCCAGACACTTTTATTATTCTTTCGTACGGAAAGAGAGTTGAACGCCATGTCGATGCATAGTTGCACATATGTTGTATTGTGTTCCTTGTACATTTAGTTAATTAATTATTTAGTTACAAGTATTCATTCATTCATTCACGTAGACTTAAGTTCAGGAATATTTCAGACATTTTCAATAACATACATTTTAGAAGTAGGAAAGAAGTGTTGTTGTTGAAAAGAATTTCATGAAACCTCGTGTATCTTATCATGACAGAACCTTTCAGTAAATATTTTTTAAAATGAACATTTTACTGCCTATAGATCACATTACCTTTCATTTTGTTATCTTCAATGATAATGCATTACTACATATAAAACGCTAGAATGTACGCTATATATACATACGTAATATCTGTTCTTAGAAATGTTCAACTTCGTGAAACAATATTAAACGTATGATACTTTCATATCAAAAAGATATAAAACGTGCTATTGGGTAAAATAATGGTAATAACAGAAGGACAAAATCTGTCATATACACTGTTGTAGAGTGTGTTTCAATCTTTGAAATTAGTATCGAGATTTTACCAAACGTTGACCAGAAAGAATAGATACATTGCGCAAAACTTAGGAAAAAAAGGTAATTTTCTTATGATCCAAATATGTTCCGTGACAAGGAAAATAAGTAAACTATGACGTGCCTTTTAAATTGTAATGTTCCTTAAAGGAGAATGAAATTTATTTCGTTAGTTCTCTGACCGATTTTGAATCGACAATAATGTGCAATTTTCACTTAGCTGAACCGTCACGTTACCGTTCCGTGATTTCATGGATTACTTTCAAAAATTGAAATACTTTTCTTTACCAGTGAATTTTATAGACGTTGTTTAAGCTCTAGATCTGTAAGCAGATTATTTTTGAAGTCACTATAATTACAGAATGAAACATGATGTGTCCTAAGTGTGACTTGTAATAAACATTATTCATTAATGTATTTATATAGAAAGTTTTTATAATAAAAGATTATTTAATATTGCAATCATTTATTCAAAACATGAAATACATACATCAAAAATTGTTGATAGATTCAATAAATATAAATATTGACGCAATGTATTACGTAAGAAATTCTTTATTCATTCTCTTAAAAATACAAGTTAGATTTATATATATGTTCCATGTTTGGGGTCATATTCTATCCAATGCTTCTAACATTATGACACTGTTTCCACGTATTACCTGGAACAATAAAACACACTGAAGCTTTTTTGTCTATCATAAGACTATTCAATTTCATGGTAGAACTTACCACCATTCCAATGTTATTTTTTGTGCCATCTTTACATTCTTCTATGCTTTCATCTATAACCATGTTCATAAAGGGATCAAATCCACGTAAAATACCAACAACGTACCTTCCACCATTTAATTTTACTGTAAATAATAATATGTATACATACGCATAAATAATTGTTCATAAGAATAATTAATGATAATATTACGTTAGTATGTTTAACCTAACTACGTATTATAGTCCTTATTGGATAAACATTACACTCTACAAATAACTGTGAAAATTACTTACATGATAATCTCTTATCCATGTACCTGACATGAAACAGAATAATCTTTTAACATATCTTAAATACATCCAGAACAGCGTGAGATTAAAGTAACATTCATTATAATGAAACAATATAATAGAACCAGTTAATGAACTTACTTTTTAAGTTCAGGAGGATGTGCCTTACTCATTTTTGAATTTCTGTTTTTCTCAGATCACACAATTCCGCAATATGTTTATTAAATGCACAGAAATATGTATATTTATTGTTTTCTTCCGGCTTTCAATTGCTACACGCCATCACACATTGTCCGCCATGATAGTCAATGGTGTATGATAGTGTATGTTTTACCGGTATTGTATATATAACCGAAAATACAGAAGAACGCGTAAATTAAGATTAAGTGTAGTTTGCAAAGATGTCAACCAGTACGATGCATTCCCTTGAATTGATATTATGCATTAATAATTGTCGTTCCTCATGAGAACGTGGGGTCACGGAGCCCCCGGTGGAGACGCCGTAGACCCGGCACGGTGAGAGCGTGGGGTCACGGAGCCCCCGGTGGAGACGCCATTGATCACGTGGGGTGAGAGCGTGGGGTCACGGAGCCCCCGGGGGAGGCGCCATTGATCACGTGGGCTGAGAGCGTGGGGTCACGGAGCCCCCGGTGGAGGCGCCATAGATAACGTGGGGAGAGAGCGTGGGGTCGCGGAGCCCCCGGTGGAGGCACCAAGTAGCAGTTCCCGCCATCTCTATTCCTTACAATCAGTGATATTTAATTTTTTTTTAATAATTACATTTGTGGCGCCATCTATGGTAAAACTGTGGTACCTGTCGGTATGGTTTGACTACCAGTTGCAGAGGTTTGCCACGGATGGCGCCACCAGTCTCAACTACTGGTTTACGGAGCAAATGATTCTTACCGCTTTTCACACAGTATCTTACAGTAAAATCGGCAAACATTATTCGATCATAGAATCTTTGCAGTGTTTAATTATGAATATAACTTTTTCTCAAAAAATTGTAGCTCTACGAAAACATGTTGAAAAAATGCAAGCGTTGACTGTCATTGTAGAACGTTAACTTTATTTTTCTTTGTATATGCTGATACATGAAATAAGTGCATCACAATTTAGTTTATATCCGGCCGGAAAACTTAACAGAAACATTATTCAACGTTCTCGGTCGACAAAAGTAACAATTCTACCGTAAAACGTTTATTCTTACAACACTGACACTATACATATACATATATATATGTAATCTTATTTTTCAACGGATCATGGTCTTGCAAGGTACTGTCTGTACAAAATATAAGTACATTCATATTTATAAAAGTACAACGTTCACCTACCGTCGGAAGACGGAAGAAATAATATTTCTTTTTAAAACGTCGGTGCAAGCAAGACTTTCGAAAGCAATACTTCAGTTTCATTTAAATACAATAGAAGGCATAATTCCAACAATCTAGCGGATTCGAATAATTTCATAACTAATCAAATTTTCACATTCGTTTTAAGCCGACTGATTAACACTTTGTAAGTTATCGAGAAATAGGATCGTCGTGTGATGTACATTGATTTAATTCCGTGACAACTGAATTACGCCGGGAAAAACGTTTCTCGAAAAACTTGCCTGCGCGGAAGATCGAAAACCAGTCTGGTAAAAGCGTCAAATCCTTAATTCTACGAATATATTAATACCGTACATCGAATTAAAGTATCGTGTCACAGATAAAGCGTATAATTCGAATTCCTTGCGAGATTTCTAGACACGTATGCAGCAAATTGGCTTGCGCAGATTCTGTTCCGTTTTTGTTCCCAATTAGACACAGGTTATGTTACAAGACTTGCTGCCAATCTGCTTTATCATTTTGTGAGCTGGTAATTTGCTCGAAACTTGTACACAACTGGTTATCAGGTTTCCATCGAGTGCTCTCAATTGCTGTACGAAGTACCTAACAAGATTCTGCAAAATAAAATAAGCACGGCACATGGTTTGCACCTTGTTCGAACTAATCAGGTACTCCACATCGAACTTCAAATCATTGAAGTATACGCTTTAACTCTAACAATCCTACGGCTAACTTTCAAGGAATGACTCACGATTATCATCGACATACACACGCGTCTCAAGGGAGACAGAATGGTAATTGGCTAAAAAGTTTCAAGGAAAAATGGCCCGAGACGGATCGAGTTGGTATGTCACGAAATGAGGCGGCAACGCTTTTCCTCCAGCAAGCGCGAGAACCTCGAAGACACCGTGAAAAGATTCTCAAGTGAACTTTCAAATTTGTGACGGGCACTTTGCGCTCGTTTCCATTTCTCATCGCGTCAGACGGAACGGATTTCAAAGCAGTCGTGTGTGCAGGTAAACGTCTCTAGCACGTCGAGTTTACCAATTTTCTAGAATACAATAAACACTCTTATAAAATAACGAATCGGTCGTTTATCGTACCGAAGATAATTATAATCGGAAGCGTAATTCGCGATAAAATAATGGTCCAGCGAGTCTTAGTCGTGGGATCAGCATTTAAGTAACAGCGGCAAGCGTCCCACGAGGGACTTAAACGACATTCATCGAAGTACGTCGAGAAGGAATACAGATATGTTGTTTGCGAACACGTACTTCCTACAAGAATCTAGAGTTATTTGTTACTTGCTACATTACAGTTTGTTTCGTCGGCTTCGAGTTCACTCGCCGGTGGTTACGCTAGTGGAATGTACTCGCAACAATTTCGAGCCCATCTGAATCCGACTTAAGATACCATCGTGGATCAAACACGTTTCGGAGGCTGCCACTATTCCCCTCCTCGAGTTGCATACGATTAAATGAGGAACACATTCGTGTAACCGTGTGTACAGTGGACTCTAACTACATTGCCATGGTCGGGGCTATAGGGGAATAAAATGGCAATGAGTTCAGAGCCCCCTCTATGCTCAGTTCCATCGTCATAGCTGCTGGGCCGGCGTACGCAATGTGGTGGGAGAGCGAATTTGTGTGCTTGAAAGTACGCGTGAAGGGCCAGTGCCTCGCGTGGCAATATGTTTAGTGGCAATATAGTTAGAGTCCTCAATACCTTCAAAATTGTAAAAGAAACGATGCAACTCGTCGCAGCGGGATCGACGTCGCGAGAAGATGATTCGAAATCGTTGCAAAATATATTGGATCGACCGGACTTGGCAGCACACGTAGCGTAATTATCTTCACCCAGTGTTAACAACGAAGACTGACAAAGTGAGGTGCCACGGTAAATATCACATCGAACGATCTTCAATGGAAACGTCGTCTATCTTCGGAAGAATATCTATCGTAGGAACACCGAGACACTTATAAAATGTAACGGGGGACATCCCGTATAGAGTAATATGACCAGATATATTATACATTTTCCCGAAAAGTGTCATCTGCCAAGTTAAAATAGTTCATACAATTCAACACAGATAACAGCCATTGTTGGTTACCGTTTTTAAATGTTTACAATCACAGGCGGGATAATATGCAGACGCGCTCTATTATTTTCTTTTCGCGTGAAAAGGGAAGGAAAACCAGGTACGTTTTCGTTAACAGCAACAGGTACGAAGTTTCATAAATCTGGTCACATTGTTCGAAAAGGGACGAGCTCGAGTTAACGGTCCACCAATGGCGTAAAAAATGTGTAAACATAGCGTAGGTAAGGGTAGGGCGTTATTCCGGGTAGATACGCGCACAAAATACAGTCAGTTATACGTGACGATGGACGGCAAGTAGTCCGTCAAAGGGAAGCTGCTTCCTCCTTCGTGCGTCGATCATAACATTTACGTTTACGTCGCGTAATTTTACACACGGGATTCGGATAGTTTACGCAGCAAGAATTCAAAGGACTAATTCGGCGTACTTTTGTGAACACCGTTTTAAATCGATCGATAGGTTAGAATCGATATCGGTCGATTCGATCATCGAGGAAACGTTTCGAAACCGTCCCGGCGGAATCAGTCGTCATGAAACCGCCGTTCGGGTACGTAGTTCGGTTCCAACCTCGGTCGGACTCGGTATCAAACCGTTGTCTCGCGGAAGATCTTGACCGACGAGTCCGCGTGTTTAATGTGAATATATCTCGTGATCGTGGTCGCGGTGTTGTTGTTGTTGTTGCTGCTGTGGTTGTTGTTATTATTGTTGAGAATCTCGCGACTGGTCAAGCCGGGCGTCTCACCTGATTCCGGCTCCTCGTTCATCATGTCTACGGTCACGAATTCACTCATTCACTTCAGTGTCGTTGAGTCGCGACAGAGCAGATCAAGGTAGGAAATATTATACACGGATATTACGACGATACAGTGAGACAATGAATCCAGCAAGAATCGTCCTCGGTACGCAACAGTTTTCCGAACTGTGGTCTAACAATGAAATCCAATTTAACGTTTCAAATGGTGGCTTTTATAACCTCATTGGATTTATTATCTCATTATGTCGATAGCGTCAAGATCATTTTCGTGTGCGTGTCTCAAATAGTAATAGCATTTTACCGATGAATTTCGATCGGTCTTGACGTAGAAAGCTTTAAATTTCATCGAGCATCACGAAGTGAGGCGCAATACCACGCAAAAGCGGGAAACGGTTACGCGTTCAAACGTACACGCTATCGACACCCCGTGACTTTGAATATCGAATTGACTTCAATCTGCTCCACCGTGTCTGGATATTCATAGAAACACGCGTTACAGTGACAGTGCACAGCGATGCAACGTGCAAAAACACAGCAAACACGTAACATTGACTACCATAAAATCGAGGGTGTAAATGGATAAAACAAAAAACGTTCGGTTCGGTTGTATTAAAAATAAACGTGTATTTACAATGTGAAAGGAATAATCGATGACGTTTCCGGGATCGTGAGTGCAGCGGGACGAGAAAGAAATGCGTAATAATTCGAATTGCTCGAATTTGCGGATGTTTATTACGTTCAGATTCAAGGGTCTCGAGTCGGTCCGATAAAAACTTACAAATTATAATCCTACTAAGTACCTATATAAACCTAACGGTCTTCATCGTCTTACTGGTCGAAGACAAGGTGAACGCGCTACACCGTTATCGCGACCCTAACCTCTTGTACTGCGGGTATTTCACTTTTTTTTTTTTTGGCAAGATTCGAACGAATATGTTCAACGATATGCGAACCATTCTACGTTTAACGATACTGACTACGACTTTGACGAGATTATTCCAAGAAGACTCCGGATAGGAACGAGCCATTCGTTACGGGACTAAGAATCATTAATTTCGTCTGCATTTTGCTCGATGGTTACTTCGAGTGTACTCGGAACAATTGACGAAACAAAAAAAGAAAGAAAGAACAAAGCATCGTAACAAGCATCTTAGTGCTGACGTAACGTAAAAGAAACGATTTTGTAAATAAAAGTAATATCTCTTTCTTATCGCTAGAACAAAAATAACTTTGGCAGTCGAGTCCAAGTACCGGACTACATGTGCATTTCGCTGACATGCTACGGTAGACACAGTTAACTTGGCAAGGATACGATGCATACACGGGGCTACATCATTTTCTGCAACGCGACTCGATGTTCCGTGCCGTTATCAGGGCTGCCGTTCTAGGCAAATTAAGGTGGCTCACGCAAATTTTTAATAATTATAAATTTAGTTGAGAATTTAACAGAACATTCTTGAAAGCTTCAACTTTCGATTGCTACCAAAACATCACAAGGTCAACGATAAAATTATTCAAAAAGAAACGTTATATAAATGTCTTTTTAACACGAGCCTTATAGAACTGTAGTTGATACTGAGAAACGAATCACTTCTTATTCAGTTACAATAACATTTTCATAGAAAATTAGGTGGTTATAGATCTTTTTACAAAGATTATGTTGGCACGGAAAAAAAGATATGCAAACGATCGAATAAAACTGGAAATTACGATCAAAGAATGCAAACTTAGGTTTCAATGAGTTTGGTAGTTTCTTCTTCGCAAGTCTGCTACGAGTATTTCTAATTGTTTCGTAAGAATTAAAAAGAAATTAAATCTTTTTACAATAAGGAAAAAATGTTTGTCTTTTGCACTTATTTGTAACTTCTGGCATCTCAATATTTTGAAATTAGTTTAAAATATTAATCGATTAAATTAAATTGATTTTGATAAAAAGTATAAAGCGCCATATGGAGCCCCAGCTAGATACGACACCAAACGCACGAGTTATCTTTAATCACAGCCCTGTTAACGAACAGTGTGTCGATCGAGTATCGTTGTACGCGGTCGCATTAAGAGTGCAAAGAGTGGGTGGATAGAAATTTCGATGACGATTAAAAGACTCGTTGCAACAAGCGAATGCGAAACTGCGAGGTAACGACAGAATCAAGCCTTAGGAACGCTCGACGTTAAAATCTACGAAATAATTGCACAACGTGTCCGTTAAAATTAAGGATCTAGGAAAAACGCGATCATAGTCGCGATTTTACTTCACGAGTCCGTTAAACATATATATGTATATATATATATATGTATATACACATACTGGTAACGCTAATACATCGTACGTTTCGTTTTAAACTATACAACGACACAGTCATATTTCGATTTCTCCGATTCGTGAACTCTACACAGCTGAACACTATGCAAGAACTAGACATACAGACTCCTCTCAATTATTGCCTCGAACTCGGGCCCGGGCTAGGACAATAATCGTATAGAACAAGCCTGACGATAATCGAGAGGAGTCTGCATACTATTTGTTCAACTGCGCGCGTAAATGTACACAGTGAATCGGTATCGCGAGAATAATATTCGCCGATAAAAACAATCATGCGCATGCTGATGACACTTGTGGAAATTAAAAAACGTCTCGGGACATGCACGTACAATAAATGGAATACATGTTACTCGACAGAGCGTAAAGCGGAGCATCTGAACAGAAAAAAAAAAATAGGCTATCGTGTTAAAATCGTAGACACTTCTCTTCATTGTGATTCGACAAATAAATTACGCGTATTCGATCCTCGAATCGAGACGTTCGGCGTCGAGAAATCATTTTGATATGAGAACCATTGGGGAGGATTGATATTGCGCGTGGCAACAGGCGCGAGAACGACAACTACCGTGCAATTAACGAGAGAAATAAATAAGGCGTGTGAATACAGAAAAGGAAATTCGACGGTCGTTCTTTCACGACACGATGCAGCAACACTTTTTGCATCTGCTCTTCTTCCCGACGATATTGTGCTTATACCTTTCCGTCACTTGGCACGCCTTCAACTTCAACTTAACGTTTCCTGTGGTAACGCCGGTGTCTTGACTTTGCACCGAGTTGCTCCGCGTGGTCACCTTCGAAGCTACGATCTCGTGTTTGCTCTCGTATCTCGAGATCTCCGTGTCGTTGCACACATCGATCTCGTTGCATTTCGCCCGTGTCCTCTCTAGAGCCTCCGTCTTTATCCCACAAGATTCATCGTCTATCGTGTTCCTCTCGATAGGAGCCTCTGTTTCTCGGTTCTTGATACCTTGTAATACTTGACGGAGCTTCGAGGATCCCCCCAAAACGTGTGTTGTACATCTAATACTGGATTCACGGCGGTCTCTGTCCTCTGACAACGCGTACCGATCATTCTCAATCTTGTCCACCACTTCGTCCATTTTGCTCGCCGTTCGAAAGAGATTTGTATTGACTATCGTGGCCGCGGTACCGCGACTCGTTATAAGCTCGCCTATGTTCTGCAGGAACAAATCCTCCTTGCTACCTGTCCTCTTCAAATTCAGTCTGTTGCTCTCGTCGAGTTTCTCGCAAAGTTCGTCCGACTTCTCCGAACTGATCGCCTCGCCGCTCAAGCTCTTGGTCGGCCGATCCGAGTACGTGCTGAGCTTGTTGTCCGAGTAATTGCTGTATTTGTCGTCGTGAAAGTACACGGAGCTCTCGTTCGACTCGAAGTTGCTCGCGTTTATGATCGATATCCTCGGTATGATTAGATCGGACGGCAAAGCTTCGAGCCCCTCCGGTGGGGTTGAGTTTCGGGACGACCGGTTAACGAAGTCGCCGAACGAATGGTAGCCCTGTTGCCCTTTACCCTGGATCCACGCTTGGGTCAGTAGATGGGATCTCTGCCAGGAGACGTCGCTGTTGCATCTGTTCGTTCTCGCGGTCCATTGACGGTCTTCGTGATTGGGCCAGGTGCGCAGGCAACAGTCGCTGGGACTCCGTTTGATATCGGTCGTGTCTTGGTCCCCCTCAAACGTCTCTTGCTTCTTACTTCTAACGATCAGCTCCAGTTTGGACTTCAGCAGAGCCGGGGATACGGCCCTGTCGACGCGCCTCGACAAATTCGAAGCAGCGTGCGCGGGATGCAAGGTGACCACCGTATTGGTCCCGTTTACATTGTCGTCTACATTTACGTCTGTTGCCTCAACCGAGGCTATTATCATAGCATTCGGACTCGGACTGTCCATGCTATCCGGGGTATAAGGATCATGCTTAATGGGTGCCGCGTGCAACAGATTCGTCGAACGGTCCGTGTAACTGATCCGTTCGCTAGCGTAACTATGGTAATCAGGCAACATAGACAACAGCTCCACGTAATTGTCTGGCACTCGAAAGCAAAACTCAGGTGCGCGTGGCAAGCAGCAGCAGTTTATCATACCTTCGTCCAAAGCGAGATTGGCCCTCAGGTAGACTGGCTGGAAACGGTAAAAAAAGAAAAATGGACGATCCTTATGTATTATCGTGCATCGGTACGATGACATGGGAGGGACATTCCTCGTATGGGACGGGCTCTATAAATATGGTCTAACTAACATTAAATGTAAATTCGGAACAACGATGATACGGGAACGAAATGGTTACTGTTGGTACGGTAATATGTATAATGACACAGCGTTGAACGTTCATGGAACATGTTTGGATACTGTTTCGGTACACTTCTATCGATCGATGACTGGAATTATTATGTATATTCTTGACTTCAACTGTTACCGATTGCGAGAGAAATGAATCGAGCAAGCGGTCGAGTGCATACCTGCGACGTCGAAATGAAAACAGATTTGTCCCGTTGAAAGACGGGAACGGAAAGCCAAATGGGAATCGTGAAATTGAAAAAAAAAAAAAAAAAAAAGAAACAATTCATTGGAGATTTGAAATTTTGGCGAATTTAGAAATGGTACTACACTGAACCAACTACACCGAACAAGCCCCTATGTAGTTATAAACAAGATAGTGGAATGCTAGCAGAAATATAGGATATACGGGAAACCAAGATAAGAACAGGCAGACAGTTCATAGATAGGTACCTTAGTGCTTAAAGATTCATTCGAAACTCCAGAAAAACAGGCTGCACCATAATAATTGAAAGAATGAATCATCAGAATAAGAACTAAGAAGTGTGTAAAGTATATGTACCCAGTATAATAAGAAGAAAGGAACCAGCATCTATTTTCTAAGGTAACATGTCAAATTCTCTCACCTTATGGTCGCCCATGCATGTCGTTGGGCCTATAATTCCATATTCCACACTGTCCGACGACGATACCTACATAAGACAGAACAATAGCATTGTATCAGACCAATGATTTCATGGGTATTCGTTAGAAAAAAGTTTTAACGATCGCGTTTCATACATCTTGTATTAGCATTTTCGCTGTCGCGCTCAGTAGAACTCTATCACACCAGGCTGGAACTCTTGTTTTCATATAATTCGAACCCTCATTAATATCTTCCTCAAACGGGTAACTGGGCACAAATTTAATTGGAAATTCAAATAATCTTCCGTCAAAGTCTTCCAGCTCTCTGTCATATTCACGTAGCTACATAAATATCGGTAATTTCATTATGGTCTTCCTAATTGTCAATGCAGCATCATAAGTACCATTATATAACAGAGAAATTGAACGACCAATCGCTTACCCATTGCCCGCTATTCTCCATAAACACGTTTTGGTGTTCACAATAGGAAAATTCCTTCTTTCCTAACGTTAATACGAGATCATCATCTTTGTTGTGAAACTGCAGCTTTGAAATATTCCCTTTATTCGACATTCTTCTTTCTTGAGTATCTTCGGTAAGTTTCTGTACAAAACAGAAGGAATCTCTTAGTTCACTGTACTTATACAAGTAGAAAGAGTAGGTGTGAAGTATCATCATTTTGGCTTACTTTGATTACTCCAGCTGTATCTGTTCTAAAATTAAAATCTCCGAATAAAAAGTATGGTACATTTGAATATTTATCGTTATGAAACCTATCTAACGTATGCTCGAGCGCTCTTCTGCGCGTTTTACTGTATACAGATGGAAACTGAAAAGAAATTATTACAATGAATACACGTGTTACAAGGCTGGTACCCAAGTAATAACATTCCTTTACCGTTTCCATAGCAATAAAGTTACTGGCATCGTGAAACAAGTGTATATTTATGAGATCAAAGATTGTCCCACTGATACTCCATCGTGTCCTTAAAAATCCTTTTCTAGACCATTTACATTCTGGAAAGAATTCTTGAGGGAATTTTGCTTTCTCTTTGGTTGTCACTGCCTCTATATTACCAGAATGAACTTCCTTCCCACTTACTGGTACAAATGTACATTCTGCAATTGCAAACAAATGCATGCTTCAACTATTTATCACAAGTGTGTGTACTTTAACACACAAGGATCCATCATACCTTGAAAGTCCCACAATAAAACATCCTTCAAAGATTCGTGCACAAAGTAAAAATTTCCAAGTGCCTGAAACAGTGAGCAACATTTTAATAAGTACTGTGTATCCGTTATCAGTTACAAAGTATATCAGGCTTTTCATTTACATACCGTAAAGTGTTCAGCAGAGGAGTAATCCTCATCTAAGTATACTCTGATTTTGTCAAACAGTCTTAATTCTTCGGATGACATAAGCAACCTGTACAAAACAATTTTATCAAATGAAATGAAGCTTTGATAAAGAACCACATTTTCAACCTTTCATAATAGCTAGAGGATACGCTATATGCTCATTCTTTTTTTATATTGCTCCCCCATGAATATCATTCAATAAACTCTTCTTTTGAAGTGGCTCGCTCAACTGTAGAACCACGCGTGATCATCTATTTTTATCCCTTTCTGCCACTTATGCGTTAAATCACATTTAATATTGTAACCAAGTAAACTTGTTTGTCTTGGTAAAGTTTAGAAAAGTTCACATATAGCTCCCACCATATATTCTTTAAACAGATATACCCTTCAAAGATTCAAGTATTACTTTAAATTCCATTGATTCAGTTAGGCTAAAATAGGTCTGTTAATGGAAACCTTTCAAGTCACTTTTAACAAGATTTCCCAGGGAACCTTCTCTATTGCTAACACGGCATAATTACTGTAACAGGTACTTAGATTCAATTACCTAACAAAGTCTTCCACATGTCTCATGCTTTTCTCATAATTTTTTCCGCCCACTTCTTGGCAGTGTAGTGCAATAAACTTTGGATCCAGCCTCAATATGGTCTACGGGAGAATATTCCTCGTCAAATGTAAATACACAATGCGTTTACGTAATGACAGTGCATCTTATCTGGTAATACTTACAGATAAAAATTCTTCCGTCCAAATTTTCAACATCACGCTAGGCTGCGAAAAATAAACCAGAACCGCACTTTTTACTATTTTGATCGGAGTTTGCCCCGGCATCGTAGAACATAGATCATAGTTCTATCGTGCTTTTTTTTCTTTCTTGTTCGTCGACGAAAGCTCCCGGAACCGTTCCCCCCCCCCCCCACGACAATGAAACAAAAACTCGCGGAGAGCGCCGATCTCGCCGTGTATCAATCGATTGTGTACGCATACATATAATTTTTCGTCCGATCGTGAATTTACGCGACCGATAACGAAACACCAGTAACGTTGGAAAACCGTGCGGATCGGCGAACGACAACGGCGCCCGCGGGTTCCGCGGTTAGGCATTGCGATTGTGTGATATACGCGTGTGACGATCCGCGGGCCGCTTAGGACAGTGCCGTGACGGTTCACGGGCATGTACACGACCGCAGAAGCAAGAAAACAAAAAGGAAACTTGAATGAAGAATAAAGGAAGGAAGAGGGCAGGAGATAAGCGCGGCGGATGGCGTGTCGTTGGCACACGCGGGGTAAGGGGGGGGGGGTGGAGGGGAATATGTGTATAAACGCGTTTGTGCACAGGTACGAAAGTCGCGCCAAACGAAACGGCCCGAGACCGAAAAGGAAGGTGGAAAGAGGGAGAAAGGAAGAAAGAAGTAGGTCGTGTCACGTATATACGAACGGTGTGTAAATCGGCGAGGCGCGATCGATCGCTCAGGGTCGTGACGGCGAACGAAAAAAACAAAAAAGCAGAGAGAAAAATTCAAAAGAGAGAATCCGTTTGTTGCATTTACTTGTACGTATGTATGTGTATGTACGTACCTCCTCGAACACGCTGCCTACGTTCGCTGTGACCAGTAGAACCGGAACGCCGTTACCCGCCATTTCTCACCGACGGATGCTGAGAGAAGGGAAACTTTTTTTCAAATAACCCACGGATGAGAAGGACAGATATAATTTTATCGATGGTCCCACGGCGATGTAGAAGAGGGACAGGGCGACGCGCAAAGCCTGTGTCACGAGAGCACACCCGTGCACACTGGCAACTGTGTGTGTGGTCGGGAGTTGCTTGCTTGCCTGCCTGCAAGACGTGCGTACAAGCGAGCGAGCGAGCTAGCTAGCTAGCTTAGCTAGTCGCCTAAGTTAAACGCACAGTTGCACTCGGATTGGGAAATTAGTTTCCCATGGACACGGGAAATAAAAAGCACTGTTGTGTTGTATATACAAGGTTTCCACAGAGGAAAAAGTCACCCCCGGCGATGATACAAGTTACGCGCGGACGTCCGGAGGGAGTAACTCTCAACCCCTGTGACCAACAGTGGCCACCGTTCCGCGGCGTGTACCGGTCGCCACAAACCTCGCACTGCGAACACGACGACACATTATTAATCGAATAAACGCGAGGCGGCCCGTTCGCGCACCAGAGAGAAAAGTTGTGTGGTGCGGTAAATATATCCCTCTATCGGGCAGACCGAGACCACGCCTACTGCAGACGTCAATAGGCAGTGCCGTGCACGTCGGAAACCGTAAACGCGCGCCAGAGAGAGGAGATTCCGGGCCCCCGACCGAGGACAAGACGTCCCGACCTCTACACCTCAGCTCGCTACCTATTCCCATTGGGCTTTACCCTCGTTTACATGCTTCGTTACACCTCTGTATTTCGCCCCCTCCCCCCCCCCTTCGTTGCGCATCTCAGCCGACAGTAAAAAATCACCGTCTTCCGGTATTCACACGGATAATTATGTTTAGTTACAACCATTCTATCCTCACGAGCAAACTCGGCTTCCGTTAGGGGAAAAAATGGCGTAAGAGTAAGGGCCTCCTACCACTTGGTAAATTTAATTCAAGTACTAAAATAAATGTTAACCTACCTAACTTTTTCGCCCAGCGGAAACCGAGTTTGCTCGTCAGTGTATCGTCTAGGGTTGTTCCCATCTCATCTCCACCTCCCTTATTTCCCACGGGAAAGTCCCACTTCGATGATCCCAATTGGCAGCCATGATGCTATCCCGATCAACGTTTACTGTGATCTTGTACCCTTTCGGCGAACTTCGAGCTTCCGGTACCGTCCCATTGTCACCGATTCAGGGATCATTTTCAACCTTTTGTTCTCGACCCCTTTCTAGATTCCCCCAATCGATTCGTTGGAATACGTCGACGCGTATTCTCGCGAGAAAAACGGGATTATCTTGTTCGATATGGGCCAATGCAATCAACCCACGTGCAAACTGTCACGTATCGCGATTCCGGATTATTTATTCTTATATTTACTCCAGGATTTCACCTGTAACGATAACTTTCCGCCCCCCCCCCCCACTATGTAGCCCAAGCTGCCAGGAATTACCAAAAGCGTCACGATAATCAGCAGGGCGGAAGTTTCGCGCAGATAAGGGCACGTGCGTGTTCCACATGCTGCTCGTACACACTTATGCATACATGTGGAGGGAAACCTGTAATTCAATATAGCCTCGAGACCAACATGCAAGAAAGAAGCATCGTGCAACAAAAGCACCCACGCAAATCGGTGGAATCGCTCCGCCGTGATTCCACGTATCCCGATTTAAACAGCAAGAGATCGACGAGAGAACCATCTGTCTTCCCCGTCCGAATCGTTTCGATCCAACCCACAGAAATTTCAAACGCGGCCAGGCGTGCCAACCGGGCGATATCCGTGAGTATCTTTCGGAAAACGAAACGTTGTGTGTAGGCGGTCGTGGCTCGCGGTTGGTACGCTCCTGGGAAGCGTTGTCGGAAACGATGTTCCAGCTGCGCATGAGAAGGGCGAAACGCACGCGCTCTTATGCTCCGTTTTACCATTACACCTCTTACATACATATTTGTTTCCCCTTTTTTTTTTTTTTTTTCAATAATAGCTCTCGAATCTGGTTCAGAGATGTCAGGGTAGGACAGTGTAAACGGATGCGTCGCGACGGCTTTGGTAGAACGAGCACCTGGATACATGATAAACTAAATAGACGCTAGGGTACACAAGGTTTTTGCGCTCCAATCATCTCCCAGGGACTGTCCTAGTGTCGAATATCGTTCGATCCAGCCCCGAGGTTAGACGGAGCATAATATACACGACCTAGTAGAGGTTAACTACCGCTTCGTCCTGTCCTGCACTCGTAATATCGCGTTCACCTGACTCGCGGACGCCGACCAGTTTGCGTTTCGGTAAGCTGATACATAGTAGTCGCCTCTTGTCTCGACACGCCGCCGCAGCAAAAACCTCGGTTAGGCTATTTTCACCGAGCGAACGGTTTTCGTCATTCGCCTTGCTCCGTTGCGATGATCGATCGGTCGTTCCTTTACCGGTTTTTCACCGAGCGAACGGTTTTCGTCATTCGCCTTGCTCCGTTGCGATGATCGATCGGTCGTTCTTTTACCAGAAAAAAAAAAAAACGTTACCGTAAGCTTCGTAGAATTTCCAAGCAATCCCGTGGCCTACACTAATTGTCGCGAATGTCGTCAGAGAGACTTTTTCCTGCTTATCGCGTTCTGTCAAATTGGCCAGGCGAAACTTTGGGAATCCCCTCCCCAGAGTCGCCGTCGGGGATCGATGAAACGCGGGTGTTTACGTTTGCGCGAGTATCTCGTCCGGAATAGATCGGTCCCATGGGGAATGCGGAAAAATTCACGAATTAACGATTAATGTGTGCGTATCCCCTCGACGTTAATCGGTTCGATCGCTGTCGTAATACGTTGATCGTCGTTTGTTGAAAATTTTCAGGCTAGGCCGCGATCATGCTGCCGTGCGTAATGTTGTTGTCGTCGCTGGCGACGGTCGTGGCCTTCGCCGAGAGCATCTTAATGACGGAGGTGTTCGTGATTCCAATTAGACCGGAGACTTTCGACTGGAGCACCGGGGACGGTAAGAACAGCGAAAACAGGGACGACGAGAGGAACAATGACACCGTGTTGCATTCCGCGTGGGCGGTGCGCTGTAAACGTGTGTGCGTATAGCAGAAATAATACGTTCATGGGGGAAGATAAAGAGAGAGAGAGGGGGAGAGCGGGGTCGTTTCGAAAATAACTGAACATAATGGCGCCACGAATAATAGAGGCGTTTTCATGTTGATCGAATTCAACCGCGTTGAAATTAACCCTTTCAGACCTGGTGGTCACATTTGTGGACATAACAAAATATCTAAATCATAGGTTCCCAAAGTCCGTGCTACCGTCCACTCGTGGTCGTTGAGGAGAGCTGATGGGCCGTTCCAGTTATTTTATTTTCATTAATTTTAATTTAACTTTTTTAGATTCAAACGATGTATGCACAACTACATTTGGAAACTTTGATAATATAGAGATAGTTTGCTTGAAGGGGGCACTGAACAGAAAGAAACTTTGAAAAGGATGTGGTGAGCCAAAAGAGATTGGGAAACTATGATCTAAACAGTCTACTGAGTTAAAATGTGCAATCAAATATTTTTTTTTTTTTACTCTTAATTCAGGTCTGATAGGGTTGAAGCGTGTAGGTCGCGGCGATTGCGCGCTCGTCTCGTTCGCGCCGCGAATAACATCGTTGGAGACTTGTCCCTGAGACACTTCGGTATCGGCATCACAGGTGACGTTTCGTCACGTGTATCGGTACTTTCTAGCGCGACGTCATTCGTAGAGGATCGTGGACGACGCGGTCGCGCGCGTGAGCCCACCACGCTGCGACGTTACAATTTCCTCAAACCGCATTATGACTGGATGGAGAGCGTATCTCGCCCGAATAGGTGAAATCTTCTTCCGACTAATGTAGACACGCAGTCACGCTTACGTGGAATCGAATTAATCGGGCTTTCTGTCCGAATTATGTACCGTTTGGTACCGCGGATATTCCTCGATGACTAATAATAATGAGCCCAACGTGTTATTTCCTCTGATGCGCTTTAAAAATTATTGGAACTTGCAAAACCAAACGAGCAAACGAAGATAACAGATTTTCTGACAAATGGTAAATACCGCAAGAACTTTCGGAAAGCAGTGAATCTATTCAAAATGTTATAACCGGACTAAAATCTACGTTGGACACAAACTTGCCGGATGTGGTAGATCTCTCTAGAAAGGATAGCGATTTTGCTATCTCTACCGAGGATAACGAATAATAACTTCTATTACTTCTAATATTTCTTATCGAAAACATTTAATTTTTTCTTTTCGCAATATTTGTAATTGAATAGTTCTTTATTTCATCTTACATGGTTTTTTAATAACCTGGAACGTATCTCCCATTTTACTATAAGAAACGTATTTTTTTAGGAACGTTTCTTCCGTGTAAAAAAAGGGTTTAGTGTACTATCAATTTACAGAACCCTGTTAGAATTGAAGTCAATTGGGTTCCACGTCTCTTGTAAGGACATTGGTTCCGGATGTGGTTTTTGTTTTACCAGGACAAACCGACCAGTTTTCGTATCAACCCTCTCTGTTGAACGCGCCCGATCTTCCCTCGTGGATCCACTACACATACAGCAAGAGGGATCACCATGGCTTTCTCTACGGTGTCGCGCCCAAACATCAGAAATACTTTCAGGTGACCCGATACACTCGGGTGGTTATATTGAATGCGTCATTCCACATTTGTACACGATGTCTAGAATTTCGTTAAAAATAATTGTACACACAAAACAAACAATTTATTACAAAGAACGATTTTTCACGATCAAATCAAGAGAGGAATCAAGTTCTTGCCTTTAATAGTTCCTGAGATAAAAATTCTTTCGCGATGGCAGTTTTCATAAAAATCGGCGAAAATTGCCAATTTTTTAGGGTCTGCATTTCTTAAACCGGAACCATCAAAATGATGACCTACCTCCCCTACTTTAAGATGAAGTATAAAATATTTCAATTTGAGCAGAATCCCAGACATCGTGTACAGAATGGATTCACTTGGCGTGGAATGACCCGAATGCCTTTCATCGTTCCAAGGAATCGCTGGAACGTTAAACGATGATTTCAGTTGGGGATCGTGGGCCTAAACAAGCACACCTACGAGACCAGATACAAGGTCCTGGACATGAACGTGCTCGAGAGGGAGAATCTGACCAAGCATGAGATCCATTTGAAAATCGATAATCTGAACGTCGAGGACATGTTCGACCGCAACCGAACCGAGGAGCTTCTTGATATATTTAGGTCGGTCGATAGAAAGATAACGTTCCCAGCCGGCCTTGGAGAGAGCACACAATCTTTGCGCGTATGTAACACCGTGAAAGGGTGGTTCGCGACTAATCCGCCCTTTTATTTACAGGAAAAAACTGTGGAAAGAGGCGACCGATTTATACGTGACGTTTCTCGCCTCCGCGATCGAGTTGGGCGCCCGTTTACCTTTGAAACCGAGCGAGGGCGAAGGGTGAGTCCTCTTAGATTTCCCGTATTCGAGCCTAAAATGGAACTGTCGAGCAACAACCGTGAAGATTAATTCAAAATTTTAAAAACCCCCGACACAAAAAGGAACGATTTTATTATTTAAATCCAGTTATTATTTTTCTCGTCATCGGACACTCAAGATTTGGGTCAAACTGCAGAAAATCTATCTACCCTCCGATTTGGATGATTTTTGGATATGTTGTAAAACTCGACATTTTGAACAACTTTTTCCTATATATGTAACGGGGGGAGTTACTTAGTTTCCGAGATACTCGCGAAAAACTGCCGGTACTAGCAAATTGAATTCTGCCTATAGTTGTGTTTATTTGACTGGAACAGAGTAACGATTCATTCTTAGCAGAGTTATTAACGTGAATTGACGTTTAATTTCATAGAATTGAAAATCGATTAGTATAATGCTTCAAAGTTGGTTAGAGACAGCTCAAGAAAAAAGTAATTCAAAGTTGGTTAAATACAGTTATTTTTTTTTCCTGAACTGTCTCTAACCAGCTCTGAAGCATTATACTTATCAAGTTGCAATTCTATGAAACTAAACGTCCGTTCGCGTTAATAACTCTGCTAAATAATAATTCTGTATCAGTCGAATAAACGAAAGCCAAGGTTAAGTTAAACGAAGCTAATTCAATGTATACTAGTACCGGCACTTTGTCGCGAATATCTCGGAAACTAAGCAACTCCCCCGTTATATGTATGCAAAAAAGTTGTTCAAAATTTCGAGTTTTACCACATATCCAAAAATCATCCAAATCGGAGGGTAGGTAGCCTTTCTACAGTTTCACCACGATTTGAGCTAACCTTCCCGGAAATATGCACTTCAAAACAAAATAAAAACCGCATGAAAATCGGATCATTCGTTGATGAGCTACAGAGCCACAGACAAACATACACAAACTTAGGTGTAAAACTGATAACACCCCTCCTTTTTGCGTCGGGGGTTAAAATGAAAGTGGTTCGTGCGGTTCCGTTAACCGTCGTTGCGTTTGTTATGGTAAACCGGAAGTCCGTCTCGATGATATTCAATCTTTTCATCGATATCACTGACGTTCGATCAACGGGAAAACAAACGCCGATGACGCGCGTACCCACCCATTCAGCGATTTTTTTTTTCCTTTTTCTTTTCCTGTAATCTATAATTGCCACTTCCAGTGTCGAGACGCCGCGGCGAATCGCGTGATACATTCGCGACGACAGCCGTGTTTACAACTTTGAAAAACGTGGACACCACGTCATTAGAGATAGCCATCTTTGGAAATACTTGCAAAAGTCCGTGACATCGGTTATTCGCGTTTTCAGTGGTTTATTATGTAACCACGCCGCCGCCACGCTCGTGTCCGTTCTGTCGTCGGTTGATAGACTCGTGGGAAACACTTACCGTGGTAACGGCGATCGTGCGCGACGTCCCTTCGATTAACGATTTCCGGCCGAGGAGAGCGTGTATTTGTCACAGTTGCGGCGAGACCAAAGAGTTCCGTGAATATTCTGCGTCACTCTCTATCAACCGCCGAATCACTATCATTTCACGGTATTATCAGCGTTTACGATTCACGGATGAGTAATTGTATCATCGCTTGTTTCGTACCCGGAGGCACGAGCATGTATTGTATTTCTGATGAAACAGTTGGCACGTGTTCCCTTGGTCGGTCAGGATGGACCGTAGTCGCTGGCCTATAGTCACGATTTCGAAGGATCAATTAGTATGAAAACTGTTCGAAATTGTCCCATGATTATCAGTGAGCCACTATCACGCAACGGAAACAGAGAACGAGTAACCTTCGATCATGTTCGCGCGAAACGTCGGCACTGTAACGCGTAGGAAGACTTCCTTCCTGCGTGGCACCACGAACAGATCGTTGCCCGTTTAATCGAATCGTTCGCTGGGTAGAACAGACCTTTTTTATGCTAGTCTTAGGATGTTATCAATTGCGATTACTTCTCACAAGCCGAATAAAAACTAGAGTGAACCCTCGATGAATGCGACACGAGCAACGGCGTTATTCCCATCACTGGGGGAGTCCCATCTGTTAGCGAGAAACAAGAGCTTCCGTCGTCTTCGGTTTACCGCGCGACGTCGTCAGGCGTCGGAAGAGGAACGTGGGGAAACGACGCAGATTGTTCGCGCGCGTAGCCTAATGTTGTATAAGCTACCCACATATAAGTAGATTGCCAACGTAAGTGCGACATTGTCGGTTGCGTTCGTACGAGTTAACCAACCGAATCGCTTCCGGGCTGCGGCCTGTTGCCTCGCCGCCACGTATCTCGTACTCTAAACTTTAGTAGACGTCACCGCGCTGCATTACGCGTACGATGCATCTCGGTGAAAGTTTGTCATTGACATCGTTTAACGGCGAACAGAACAAGGAAACGACCGTTTCGACGCGCGACGTAACCGTTACTATCGGGATTTTCGTCGAAACGCGATCGAGCATCGAGAGCATCGACGCGATACGCGGCTGACAATATACAGTACCGGACAAAAGTATTCGTACACCCTTTAAAACGCAACAACTTTTTTTAAAATCGCTCCAAATGACTTGAGTTCTTTTGTGAAGTTCGGGACATCAGTTTACTAAATGACGTGTAAAAAAAAAAAAAAAAATTGAAAAAGTTGCAATTGGTCGAAATCGCGAAGAAAATGGTAAAGGTTGTTTTTTACAACTTTTTAATCTGAGGCTATAATGAAAATATTATAAATACATATCGAAGATTTATGTTATGTCAAGACATATAACATTCCATTTAAAAAAACTGAAGGTTACCTTCGTTTCTCGAAAAATAATATAAATATAAAAGATTATTGACATACGTTATCATGTTCCCAGTAAGATATACTGTAAGTTCTTACTTTTCTATTTTTTTTTAAATACTTACTGTTTATGAACAAAACGTTGGTCCAATTTACCGCGAACACCCTGTATACATATATCAACCGATAGCCTTTAAGCAGATATCATGATTAACCGACATGGGATTGCTTTATCTTGTCTCTTCGTTTTCACGTAAACAGAGTCCGTGTAATGGGTAAATTTATACGATTTCGATACAACAAATCCTCGATGAGTGTTCGAATGCTGACTTTTTAACGAGGTTTAGCATAGTCATTGGAACTCTGAAGTCAATGATATTTGTGTCAGTCGCATATGGTCATTAGTTCGTGAAACATTTAATATTCAATACCGAGGAACTTTCGAACACTCATGAAGGATTTACTGTATTCAACGCGTCAAGTAGAAACCTGAAAGTTTGTCAAATACATGCGAGCACCAGAACCGCAGTGCTCAGACTGTGCACGTTGAATCGGTTCCCAGTATTAGAATAGCAGATGAACGATCCCCATTGATCATTTCACTGACGTGAAATCCTCAAGGGGATCCCTGTCATTTATGACGTAAAGGAGTGCAGAGTCCTAAGCGCGATGACTCGAGTGGCTAAGCATCCAAAACGTAGTCGGAAAACCAGCGATGAGTCTTCGTTCCCCTGACGCATCGATCATTTGTCGTAATCGCGAGGTGAATCAATGGGCAAAGTCAATCGACGTGTATAGAAATTGATCATCGTGGAGAAATTGCGCGCAACTACTTCCCAGTAAATAATTCAGTGATAGGCTCGCCGTAGAAATCCTGTCACGCGTGTCCCAAACACGGAAAGTACGTTCGGATCTGTCTCAGACTTTCGACCGAGATAACGGGTAACGATGTACAAACAGGAAAAACGATGACGCGTTTCTTGAAAGAAGTCCTACGTGTCGCGATGCACGTAGACGGATCCTACAGGTGCCTGTCCCCTGGATCAACATAACGAAAGGGAACCACTCCTGTGGCATCCGTTATTACTAGACTGGGGATTCTATGCATTTATATCCTATACGGGTCTGTAAAACACAGTAAAGGACAAAACTTTCATGACATCCAATAAGTTTTCTGGTTTACTCGAAACCCAATATGATATTTGAGAAAAGACAAAAATTCCTACATTTCCTCTTCTCTGTATGAATTGCCTTAGAAAATATCAGTTTGCATAAAAATCCGCAGTCTAGTTATTATTATCGCTCTAAATAACATTCTACCACGTGCTACTTAAGTTTTCTGTATCTGTGTCGTCAGGGTTGTCGTGAGATTGGGAAGTTCGATGCCGTTCTCGCAGGAGTTGAACGAATTACAGGATGAAGTGAAGCCTTTATGGAAATTACCCTCGTGTCCGCGGGATTTTAAACGGACCAGCGTCGAGAGACTCTTCAGGGAGGCCCGATTCGCCTTGGACTGGTGCTCCTTCAGATTGGTGGGTTTAATTCATAGAGCTAGTAATACCCAATTCGCTAACGGTCACCGTTCCCTCAGGTGGAGCAAGAACGTCAAGGCTTGCAGCACGAAAGCGCCAGACGTGGGCCGAGCATGAACGTTCTCGGTTTACCCGCCTCTGGTGTTTTCGAGCACTCGGAATGGCGATGGGCGAGATCGACCAAGGCTAGTATACCCACCAGAAGTTATTTCAGGGAAATCGCCACCACGATATTCGTACCGACCACCCTACTTCTCGTGCTGGCCGCGTTGCTCAGCACGGTGCTGTGCCTGAACCACGAAAACATGTGAGTAATCGGGCAGGTAGTCGATCTTTATACACATATACCATTCGTGACGGAGAGGGCTACGTTCTCCACTCGGTACAGCCCTGCCCGCGGAGCAATGCGTTTTTTACTTTTGGTACTTTCGATTTTCTCGTTCAACGACGAAACATCGACGGTACCACACCTCCAGGATCCGAGGCTATACGTGGGAATTCCTTTCGGAACACGGGTGCATTAGAGAACGTCGACCGAAATATATTTGTCATTCTGCACGGACCACGTGCTCGAGGAATGAATTCCAACGTACATAGCCGTGTGTGTAAGCAACCAGCATAAGTGGAAGGGGGGCGCTAAGACCAGATAGAGGGGGGCTACTACACTACAACTGGTTTCATTCATAAAACAGCTACGATATCTGGTCAAGGCGATGACGCGCTGGACGCGGTGGGTACGTCGAAAATACGATTCCACGGTGAGTTGTGTTGCGTTCCACGGGACAAACGTAATCGCATGCCGAGCGTAGTAATTCCTGAGCATTCGGCGTGCACCGTGCTCGTGGGGACAAGTGATCCCCTCTAATCGTCTCGGGCCGAATCGATCAAGTTTTCGCGCCATCTACCGATAACCACCGTTAACAGTCCAGATATAACGGGCTATAGAATTATTATCGCGAACTGCGTTTGTTGTTCACTGACAGGAACAACAGAATTGGGAAAGAAACTTCCGAAAGAAGGGTATTACCTGCTAGATGGAAGGAGGAAAATATACATACGCTTTTGACGGTGATGCATAGGAACGATGTTTGCGTAGACTTATGTAATAAATAGGATCTACGCAAGCGAGGCGTAATGGTTGTTTATAAACAGAAATAAATAAGCGATTTTTCCTTCGAACGGTGCCACGTGTGCACGCTGTTCGTTGGTATAAATAGATATAGAGGTTCAGTATTTCGCGACCTATGTGTATGCCTTGACGGCGTTTAACGTGTACCGTCCACTTATCGCCGTGGTGTATATCACTGCTTCCGCGAGTTCTCAGTCACGACTAATCAGTACACCCGGCACGAAATCATCTCGTTCAACGAGAAAGCGTCGTATACAGTGTATACTATACACAGCGTGCAACCGGGGCATTCAAGCGTCATCGCGTCAGGATCAGTGTTCGGTCGCCTTTGTTCGTCCGTAAGCATTCCGTTACGAACTCGTTTATCTGCGTTAGGAAACTATGTAGTCTTTGTCCGTATGATACACAATAGATATTTAGTGTTACAATCGAGCATTGTCGAGCATGGGCGTAGCCAGGTTATGAGTTGGGGGGGAGGGGCAAATATATTAACACATCGACTGTCACAGTGAAAGAGGCTGTACGTAGCCAGACACACTTTATTGTCAGATATATTTTATTGTCACTTATCAGATTATTGTCCAGGTGTTATCCCCACCACTAGGGGTAGGGGGGCGTGGAACCTATCAAACGCATACTTTGTTGCCGGAGTTCGTGCTTCAGGCTAAAAAAACGAATTTATGAGGCTCTGCAGCATTTCTCCCTATAAAATTATTGTCACGGCGCGGACTCGAGTTCGGGACGATAATCAAGAAGCGTCTGTACCTCTACAGTATAGTCAGCAGAATTCGAAGCATGTTTGAAGCTACTGTCCGCGTGTTTGAACTCGGAACAAAAGAGGCTCGGATTGAAAAAGCGTGTGCGTGCATCGTGACCAGGAGATTGCGTACGAGATTTCGATTTTAACGTGCGTGTACGTCATACGTGGCAAAAACACAAGACCGTCTATGAAATGTCCGATATAACGTTACCTTGCTGTTCAAGGGTGCCGGGGCTCGTGGTCCACGCACGCGATCAAGGTAATTGCCATCAGGCTGCAGATAATGCGGGTTAGCGCGAAGAAAAAACAAAGGACAGGAATAGGACGAGGCAAGCGTCACTAGTGATATGACTCACGGAAGAAAAAAAACTGTGCGATGATAATGCGCGGTATCTATTTGAATGATTAAGCACGATTTGCAAAAAAATTGTTCGCAATGCGTCTCCCCACCACAGATTTCGCTGTTCCACGAACGCCCCCGCATTTTCAATTTACTCCGTTGAAATGGGCCCGAGTCAGAAGATCAGTTTTACAAATTGTTTAACGCTCGTATAAAAGCACCAAACTCTTGTTAATCAGTTTAACGAGTCTTCACTGATACGCGCAAGCTATAGTCGAATCACCCACGTAGGACCTTCAACCGACGCGATTTGAACATACAGTTGATGCCCTGACAATGTCTAAGTTCTGTTAGATATAGAAGCATATTACAGTAATGTCTCGATGAGTGCAACGGACTCAGGTCCACTTCGAAGCATTGTTGGCAAGGCGGAAAGATTTTCAGCCCCAGATAAATTTGTTTTCTGAACGAAGCCGAACCTCTGCTTAGCTTCTGGTTACTCTGTTTTGATTGGTTCCAGAAGGAGATCCCCCATTGGTGGGAATAACGCCGTTGTTCGTATCGCATTAATCGAGGAATTACTGTATTAGGAAACAATTTTGATCGTCGAATCGATCGTTTGTTTTGTTTCTCTCGCAGCGAAAAAAGGGAGACCAGACCCGGAGAAGGGATTAGCAATAATAACATACAAATGGTCCAATACGCTGTCCCAGAAAGGGGTACTTTGAAGTCGCTTGCAGTTCAGCCATCCAGTCCCAGTGATTCTTTGTTAAGAAGTCCCAGGTACGCGTACTTAACGTATTTAGAGTGTTATTGTTAGAATGCGATAGGCGAAGATTTTGGAAAAGAGGGTGTTCTTGTAGGATGCCCAACGAACGTTGCAATCCGTACGTGCGACCGAATCCACCACCCTATACTGGTCCAAACAACTTGTAAGTTCGTTATCGGTGTTTCGACTTGATTCCGTCAGTGTTGTTCACGCTGTTCCATTTACTTCCTAGGCCTGGCATTCGATCTGATTTCTGACTACACGAGGAGCCAGCTAAGACATGGTTTTGCTGAGCGAATGAGCTTTAATGTCCACGGGAGAAATTGCAAAATCGTTGAAACTGGCTCCGCATCGTTATCTTCAGAATTATTTGCCTTCAATAATTGGTAGTTTTGATGATTATTAGTACATGACGTTTGATGTTACGTAATCGCGCAAAAAATTCGTTTTCACGATACATCGTGCTACATTACTGAGGCACAATGAACTATACAGCATTCATATTGTGTAATTTATTTATAACGAATCAGTGTACATATATCATTTAGCGACTTTCGAAAGGTATGTATTTAAATAAATATACATATATACGAATTCCAGATAGCACATGACGCCTCGAAGACGCCCATTTTACGGCTATTTTCGGTCTAAGGCGCCTTTAAGCCGTCTTCAAGGCATCATTAGGCGTTATGTGCTATCTGGGATGTAAGGGCAAAACTTTTATTTCTGTTGTTTGCTACTCGTTAATTACAATATACACTGAAATATATAAAGATTAGAGAAGTTGTAAATGCATAATTATAGATAATGATAGTAATAACATATCTGCTATATGCGGAAATGAATTACAAACGACATCTATGCATTTATAAATTATATAATTGTACGCAGGTTTTAGGACAATTACCTGAATTTTAATAAATCAAAACAAATTACAACTGGTTTTCACTCTGGATGATTATATTTGGGATAGTCATTAAATTTTGATAAGATAGCAAACTGACCGTTTGATACACCTTGACGTTTCCTCAAGAACCTAACCTTCGCAATAGTCACGCGTGCGCTTTACAGAAGCATGCTTCGACAGTGGTACTGTCGTCGAACGGTCGTCAATGTGTAATGCTGTAGAAATTTCCCTTGGTGATTAATCTATAGATGTGACAGCATTAATAAGTGAAGTGCAATTGCCTGAAGAATTCTTGTTTAAAGTTCAGGAAATCATGGCTGGCATTGTACCATTGTCTGGCAGAACTGGTAGAAAACAATGGACACTACACGGTAACAACAGCAATTTCACTTTCATCTTTTTTTTGCAGAGGATTACAGTTTTTATCACCTTCGCGAATACAATTAAAATTCCATATCGCCTACATTAAAATGAAAATAACATCGCGACGAACAGCGACAAGCGATTCGTTCGATCTTCGAAAGAATTATCACAAGCCATGCGAAATGTCAGTCAATTATTAAATTTTCATCAGTTTTCAAGGAAAATATCAGTGTTTGACAATTGACATATCGAAGGAATGTGAAAGCATTGATAATTTTAGATGGACCACGAGGATCTCTTAGAAGATTACGATCTCAGTTGGCCGAGGACGGTTGCCCGGAATCTCAAGTAGTTTTAGCCAAACAACTGTTGGATGAAAGATGTGGTATAATACGATTTTTCATTTATATATAAGTGTACATGCAATTTTGCAAGAGGTTTAGCACATCTGATGCACCTTGTTACATCATGCGAACTATATACGAATAATGTATTCAGATCTAGATGTTGATAAGGAAGAAAATGCAAAATTGGGGGTCTATTGGCTCACAAAAGCTTCGGAGCAGGGTAACTTGGAAGCAACCGATATTCTCAGGAAATGCTTAGCAACTGGACGCGGTATCACTGAACATAATTATTATGACGTGAAAAGTTGTCTAGACATGACTCAAGATGAGAAATTAGCCAGAAGAGCAGCAAGAGAAATGTTCACTAGGTACAAGAAATTAAATTCTTTGTATGTGTAAAATATTATACAAGTGTTCTCAATAACTTGATATTACAACAGTCTTTCAAATGGAGAAGATTTTATCACAACAGAGCAGCTACAAAGGCGAATGAGAGATTTAGCAACAAATTCATCTAATAATGTGAGTTGTTCACACTCGAATAAAATGTCATGCAATAACTCACGAAAGGATGTGAATGATATTTCAACGGATAATTTCCCAAAAAATGGGCTTCCTGAAGACTCAGTACCTAAGAAGGAGGAAGGAAAGGAAAATGATGTTCATGGTAGGCAATTGCTTCAAGTTACCACAGATTCCTTCTTAACGACAAGGATTTGTTTACCGATTTTTCTGCATTTCAACTATAGATTGGATGCATCATCAGGGAGAGAAACTTACAGAAGCAGCTTTAGTTTCTGCCGCCGCTAGTTATGCTCGCGGGATGCTTCCGATAGTTTCGCACGCTCTCTGTATGGTGGATACATCTCAAATGGCATTAGACACTATACCACTGCTACAAAGGCCTCTAATGCATCCTCTTGCATCTTTGAAACGTCTGTATATTTGGTTGATAGAAACGTTAGGTCAAAGGGGAATGTCGATTAGAAAAGTTCTTTTCACGTCGAATGTACATATATTGTTGTTGCTCCTATTGTATTCGTTGTTCGGAACAGAAAGCCTCGTACTCTTTATACCAATTGCTTTATATTATCTGTCGTTTATCGTAATGGTTATAGCTACGTTTCAAATGTTACAACGAAAACGCGAGTTCACTAACTTTCGCGTTTGGTCGGGCTTGTTTCTCAGTTATTCGGGCGGGAACTTGAATCCTGAGGAGGCAGAATATCAATACTGTTGTAATAATTTAAAACCTTACGCTCACTTCTTTCTTGCCTTGCTCTTGAATCTAATGATTTATCCTATTATAGCTCATCAGTGGACACCTCAGTCAGAATTCACTATCGTGGCAGTCGCATTAACGTTGATAACGCTCTTGAATTTTATGTGGAAAGATTCCGCCAGATTCCCAGATTTCTTAGCCCTCTTCAGTTTTGGTGTTCACGTTCTCGCTAAATATCCGTACGAAACGGACATCGTAGTCGCGCAGGGATGGAGGTTTTTGGACATAAGAGTTCCCACGTTCGCTTCGTACGTTGTCGGCAACGGCATCGAGTTTTGTTTGAATTTTCGTGCGGTCTTTTACCTCTTGATCCCAGCTGTTTTTGCGAAAATGGCAGCTCAGGATAATTGGCGTGGTACTTATCAGACGTTAATACCTCATTGCGTCACTTTAAGTTGGTGGCAAATAGCAATCTTTAGCTCTCAAGGTGCAACCTGGTATGGATTGATTAGAGGTGCTCTGGCGTTAGTTGGTATGGTTCTGTTCTTACCACTGGCAGGATTGGCGTCCATTATCCTGCCAATTGTCGCCGCTGCTAAATACTTATCCGAGAGTGATCTAGCCATGAGAATAGCAATAACCGCTTTACTCGGGGGGATGCCGTTCCTTGCCTCCTGGTACTTAAGGAAAACTAGAACTCCCAGATACAATTGGATTGTCACCGTCATCCAGGTAAATGCTCTGCTACGGGAACTTCAATTTCTGATGTTCTGACCGATTGATCATTGCAGTTGCTCATGGGTATCGGCGCTGGTATGTTTTTATCATGGCCAATGATCATGGAATACAAGCAAGAACCAAACAGGTATGACGTTATTTCTACGCTTTCCTGGGAACAATATCAGAATCATTGTCATCAACCTGCATGGGAAGAACTATCGTCCAAGGCACAGGTCCAAGTTCAATGTGCCGATTTGGAAGGTATTCTAGTCTCGTGGGAAGGCTACGTGACGAATATTAAATTAAGAACAATAAAGAATAATATAGCGACGATCATTGACAAATTACCGGACAGTATTAGAAACGCGATCGGTTGCATGTACGGTGAACCGTATTCGAATAATTGTGACATGGTTGACCATGCACGGCAGAGAAATTGCAAGCATTTCGCAAGCATTCAGAATCGGAAAAATAAATGTCACTTTCCTGCTTGGAATCAGTACGAATTCGAGATTTCGGTTAAGATGAAAAGCGGCATGTGGGGTAACAACGCGGAAGTTTTACTCATAGCAGATCACTCGTTTACGAATTTTAGCCTGAACATATATCCGGGCGACAAAGTTTGGTTCATCGGTACGCTTTTAAACAGTGGTTTAGAAGACGAATCACTGTTAGGTGGTTCTGAACCACACATTGAACTGGAGGAGATTGGTTGTCTCGCGTGTCATTCTATTGACTTGAAATCACAGAACCGCTATAAGTATCATGTAACACTTATCTCGATTTTAAATGGCTTTTGCCTAGGCGTAAAGACTGTTTTACATTTCTTGTTTAATCCTATCGTGATATTCAAGTAATCACACGTTTGTGTCTGTAGATATATCGGATATAGATCAGAATTTATATCTGTAAGATAAGTTGGATTGTAAGATATTTGAGAACGTTCAGGTAAAATTGTTTCCCAGACACGTTTGAGTATATATCTGTTAAAGGTATGTAAACCGAAAAGAGGAAAATAAGTATTTTACAAATGATAAACAGTTTACGTAGATCTAGAGTGTTCTTTTCAAAGAATGTGTATTAAGTTGGAAGTGTCAAATTGTCGTTACTGACTTTTTTTTTTTTCGTATTACAGTTTTTCTTTTTATAGTGGAGTTATTGTACGATTCATTATAGTTGAATTGAAGGTTATTGTTGTCTGGACACTGAAGTAGAGTTTTAAAAAAAGAAGTACTTTTTTAACTGATGTACGTGTGTATCTAAGGTTATATAGAGTAATACAAGTATATTTTGATGTTACCAACGCCTCAGGCAGTAGGATTTCAATAACAACTCAGAAAATATCTATGTCAACATGTACACTTTATATATACATATATATGTATATGTATGTATATGCATATGTATATTTTAAGATCGATATATTTTCGTAAGTATTACTGCCAGTATAGAGACAAATGCGCTTAATATTTTTCTATTCCGTTTTTGGAAAATTGAGAGGTGGAACCTCTTTGATCTTATTTTAACACAACAGTGAAACTATTACACAGTTTTTGTAATGTTAAATTTAACGATGAAGAACATCATTCGCATCTAAAAAACGTATTCAATTCACGTTTAAAAAGAACAAAAAGGGCGTATCTACAACGAATGTGATGTGAGTACCTACATTATCAATATTCAGTTTCTTAGAATCTATTGTTGTATTTTTAAAACGTTCGTATGGAACTATGAAACTTGATGGAATTTCGAAACTGTCATTTAGTTGTTGACCTATCTTTACTCGTGTAAATGTCATATGAATATTATATGTATTCAAAGAAGTAGGAAAGATGTATCTACTTGTACGTTGTGTAGGAGTTGCAGGTCATTGTTAAATTGATGTCAAATGTCTAGACTTTAAAAACATAAACAATTAAAAAAAAAAAAGTCTTGTAACTGTCTAGAGTTATGGCGACAGTTATTTTCATGTCATATCAGGACAATAGTGAAGAAAAAAATTATAGTTATACAAAAGACAAATATAGATGTGCCTTGATGTTTTCTGTTCGAGTAAATGATTTTATTATTTACAATAAAATATGTATGTTAAAAAGTAAGAATACTGTTAGATTAAATGTTTTGTTGAAGTATCATATATCTAACGATTTTGTAGGTGATATATTTTCTTATATTTTTTTTTACTCGAAATTATTTATGTTTTTCCAAGAAATTCAGTTTCTCTTTATAGAATTCAATACATATTTATTTTGTATTTGGCAACAGATGACGTACATTATTTTCAGAAATGATAACATTAAGTTTCTTAACAAGACAATCTTTTATTCAGAGATTTTGCTTCCCTTTATCTTGGTTTTTGTATAAAAAAGAGTTGTACAGTATGAAATCGCTCTACAACTATTTCACGTCGATGTTTCCTTTTGTTTATGTACAAATATAAAATCTACATCAATAAAGTCTTTTCAATCATATTAAATCCATGTATGTAAAGATAAGTCAAAGTGAGAATAAACGCTCTCGTAGAAATCGAGCATGATAAGGAGCTCGTTTTTTTAATCGGATGGGTATATCCAAGTCACATTTGACGTTTCACTGAAATGTTACAAGTCTCGGATTTACTGCGAATAAATCATTTTTCCACCGCTAGCTGTTGGATTCAAACTGACACATATAAAATTATTGACATTTTCACTGAATGTATAAGAATTGTTTTTCTTTATCCTCTATAAAGAACAATTCAACAATCTACCCTAACGAGATAACTCGGCTTCCGCTAGGGGAAAAAATGGCGTAGGAGAAGGGTCCTTTAACACTTGGTTTCGGAAATTAGTGAAATTTATGCCAAATTAACATTCGGTGTAACATTTATTTCATTACTTGAATTAAATTTAAACTGAATGTTAATTCGACATAAATTTCAGTAACTTCCGAAACTATGTGGTACGAGGCCCTTCCCCTACGCCACTTTTTCCCCTAATGGAAGCTGAGTTTGCACGTCAGTGTACATTTACCGAACTTAGAGCTATTAAATTGACTGCAGCAACATAAGAGCATAAAAACTTTGGTAAAGGAACTGTGTACTACATTCGATTAACATTATTAGGACCAGAGTAGCAATAGCATAATTCGACACATCTTACAACTGCTGCAACAATTTATACATTATCGTAATCGTTTAATCAGTTGTTTGTTATACATATTTTTTTTGTTAAAATATTCATCCAAAGTGACGTTTCAGATACTTGACTAATGGCTAAATACAATAACCATCATTTTTTTTACACTAATACCCAAATAAACAGTCTTATGAACACTTTACAACGATACTGTATCTCATAGAATGAACATCCGATATAAACGAGAAATTCGAAAGCAGAATAGTTCGTAACGTGTTATGGTTTAATAAAACCGTTTCCTACTGTTCTCTTGATGTTTCTGATACCACATAATGCCTATCACGATGCAGGCGATTATTGCGAGTGCACTAACAAGCATCAAGATGAAGAACATTATTCTGCTTAATGTAGACTGCTTTGGATCATCTATATGGTCTGTAAAAAAACAATGTATATTTTTTTCGACGAACTAGAAGAGCATTTTCTAAAAAAAATGATTAGTTATTGGGTTACCTCGTGGGGCTTCGTAAAACGCAGCCGAAGGTAATATGTTAGATCTATCTTCTTGATCTTTAGGCTGAAAGTGAATACAATGTGTTATTCTAAGTAATAGTAGATACATAAAAATACATAGAACACTTCGAAATAATACTTACATCATCTGGTAAATCTAATTCAAACAAACGAATTGACAATATGTCGTGGTTGTCGGATAAATCTCCTGTGGTTGCAGTAATTCCGAAATAATATCCTGTAGGAAGCTTTATGTCTTTCACGGAGAAGCATTCTTTCCATGCAGCTTTATTCGCGAAGTCCGTGGAAACTAAATAAAAAGAATCTCAGAGAATTTCTCACACAGATTTATACAATTTTCAATATGTAGTCGATATATTTATAGCATCGCTCTATTCCATGCTATAGTAAATGAGTAATGGAAGTATCCATACTCTAGTTTAGCACAGTATAATGTTCAAGAGCAAAAATTTTCATTTCCATATACATACAGAATTTCATGCAGGCTTGTCACACTTATGAAACTAATTTTATTGTTACTATTAATATGCCGTGTACATTCAGACAAAGATCGAGAATGATATGGAAAAACGAAAAGAAAAGTTATTAAGCAATGCACGATGAATGAATAAAATACCACTTGCTGAAGTGGAGGGACTCCATGATGTAAGCCAGGATGCCTCAGGGTAAGACCTTACTGTAATATTCATTTGTACAGCACCACATAAAGTAATGTGAATATATGAAAAGCATTACCATGAATGTGTTTTGTCTACATTGAATTGACTGCTCACACATTTATTAACGCATGTGCAACCAAGCAGTTGAAACACGTCTCGAACTAGCTAAGTCAGGAACGCGCAGTTGACGATTAGTCCACTTCTGATAACATGGTCTTGTCATCGCGTGCGAAATAATCCGTTTATGGATGCAAGTGGGTTAATTACACGTTAGAACGCTCATAATTACTTTGAACATTAAACATTCAGCCAACACAGAGTTCATGTTATTACTCGGAAAATGGTTCCTAATACACAACGTTCAAGTACTCTTAATTTTCTATATGCTAGAGCATTATATACCCTCGCGAGCAAATTCGGCTTCCGCTAGGGCAAAAAGTGACGTAAGGGAAAGACCTCCTACCACTTGGTTTCAGAGTTACTCAAATTTATACCAAATTAACATTTATTTCAGGCTTTGAAATAAATTTTTCAATCGGTAGGAAGCCTTTACCCTTAGAGGAAGCAGAGATTGCTTGTCAGTGTACAGTTATATGACAACATTTCTTCCATGCTCTGAAATCTCTGATATTTTGCTATCATGGTTACTTACCAGTTAATGTATCTCTTTCATATCTGATAGCAATATGCGTGTCATGCTCCAAGTTTCTAAACTTTGCTTCACAGCCTGAAAGTTGTGTGTGAGTTCCATCACGATCGTGATCATAATGTAGGGAACCATTGTTAACCATGGCAGATATGTAAGGATGCTGATGCTGCAAATGCCAATAAATGTATTACAATTTAAGTAACTTCACTTTTCACTGCAAAAGTAACATTATTGGTATTGTCCAACATATCTGTTGTTCTGTAAACCTACATTGTGTGGGCCATTGTGATTGCTATACGTGTCTAAAATTATAGCTAATCCCTGGAAATAATCTTTATTCCCAAATACAGGACCAGATTGCATTCTTTCCTTTGCATACCAAATGACAAAACCATCGCCGAACAGATCTCTTCCTTTTCCATGAACTTTAAAGTGAACTTGGAGCTCCCAGTTCCTTACATAACACATCTGAAGGAATAATACAAAGAAAATTTGTTCTCTGTGTGTATATACCATTGACCTTTAACTTCAATGAAACAATAGATTATCTTTAGCCTACGTAATCTGTATGCTATTGACATGTACATTAATCTGTAAGATATTTCTGATAGCTGAACTGAAGATGTTTATGCAAAGATACACTTTAATGGACTAATTTATATGTATTAAAATCAAATAGAAGTTTATCTAGTTTGAGGAAGATTGTATCAGGCTGCAAGTAGCATAAAAAAATTTATTAAATTCTACTGAACCATTGACTGCAATGAATATTAAACAATCATATATGACACAAATGGATAAAGTCCAGAGTCTGCTTGTGACTAATTGAATGTGCATAGCTACAAAGAATCACAAACTTACAACAGAATTCCATATGGCACCTTGTTTACTTTGTAAATCCGGTGTTATTCTTATATAATTACTTGTTACCATTGTACTACCAGTAAAATCCCAGTAAGGTATTATCATTCCAGAACCTAAGCATAAATATATAGTTATGTGTATACTCATATGCAAATTTGTACTTAATAGTCGTATATAAAAAGATACTAGTAAAATCATTTGAAGTTTCTTTCAATCGAACCATTTTCATTATTCATAAAGAAAAACAATAAGAAATTATTTTTAGCGTTCATGAAAGTAACCTTAACTGCTCGTCATTTTAATATACTTCAATATATCAGATATTTGCATAGTATGACGTAAAGTGTGATTACTGAGTTTAAACTAGAAGAAATTACACGTCACAGTTTTTTAAGGTACTCCACGTAATTTCCGCAAAGCGACTTAAAATTCACGAACCTTGATACGGTCTGATCAAAGAATGTTCTCGTTTCATATAATCTTTCGTATTCCATTCTGCGGTTACTAGCTGTAAAACACTCGCAGTCAATAAGAAACACGATCTCACGTTCATTTTATGTTCTTTGTGTCTACACTACAATGTAATTTTAAATATCAAAGTGTCCGTCGAACTAGTCGATAATTACAACGCGCAATCCGAAGATGCTACTACCGGATTTATCATTATTCCACTATCGTGAGATGAATCGACTGAACTAGCTAGTCTGAAATGGGCAATCCTACCAATATAGAATTAAAAATATTCTATCAAAGCGTGTTTAGAAATTTTGGTTTTAAAACCCATAAAACGCATTAATGATGGGATTTTGCAATATTCAACGATACGATGAATGATTAGGAAGAATTTGAGACGAACAGCGTTAATTTTGAGCGAATAATTTCTGAGATATTCGTATTTCTTTATTTTTCATAATTCGTTCTTTGGCCACGAGATGGTACCACCATTCACTTTTCGCACTTTTTTGCGGCGCAAATTGGCGCAAATGATTACCTCTGTGAAGTTAGCCGGACAACATTAACTTTTTAAAGACTTTCGAGTTCGAAAAGACAATCGAACCAGAAATATCTGTGTTATCGACTGTAAACGTGCGTTCTTACACCTGTATCTTGTATCCGCCATATGACTACATCGTTTTTTCGTTTTTTATAGAAACTAAGCACCACCAAATGTTTTAATTAGGCTAGCAATGACCACCAAACGATCACGCATCCATTGAGCATTTATAAAACTGAACCAGCTCAAAAAAAAAATGTCCGGCTAACTTCACATAGGTCAAATGATTCTATCCTGTTCTACCCGTAGAATTGTATGACACGAGTGGCAAACATTACTCAACATGTGCTTTTCTTTGCAAAAAACTAAATTTGAAATTGAAGTAACGTAGACTCAAGTTTGATTAAACGGAAGAAAGTTGAATGAAATATTAATCAAGATGTTGTTTTACCTCTTAAAGTTAGCTTATATACAAAGTTTAATGCAAAATACAATACGGCGTACATGTATTCAGGGTTGTTTATAAAATGAACAGTGTACTTACTTGAAAGATACACGTCGTTAGATATTTTAAAATGGCTCGACGATTGAGTGGCAAAGCAAAGCTGAAGTCACTGTTGACAGTGACTAGTACGGCCGTAACTTTATTTAGTGGCATTTGCATTTATCAAGGCAATGAGAAGTTTTACAACAGATTTGCAGTGCCTCTGATCCAGTTGGTGGATCCAGAATTCGCTCATGTAGCTGCTGTTAAGATTTTACAGTGGGGTCTTTTAGGAAAACAAAATGCAGAGGATCCATCCTCTCTTGGAATCAATGTTTTGGGGCTACAGTTTAAAAACCCATTAGGAATGGCTGCTGGATTTGATAAGCAAGGAGAGGCGGTGGAAGGCTTGCACAGAATAGGTTTTAGTTTTGTAGAGATAGGTAATGCATTTAATAGTTCCCTTTCTTTGTAAACATTACAGTCAATAGCCCCTCTTTAATATCTACAACTGTCTTCATAGGATCCATTACACCAAAGCCTCAACCTGGTAATCCCAAACCAAGGGTGTTCAGATTAGTAGAAGACAGTGCTGTTGTCAATAGGTATGGTTTCAACAGTGAAGGTCACGACATTGTGTGGCACCGTTTAAGAAAGCTAAAAGATAACAAAAACTTTCATGGTATCATCGGGGTGAACTTGGGTAAAAACAAGACGTCAGAGGATGCAGCTCAGGACTATGTAGAAGGCATTAAAAAGTTCTCGGACGTGGCTGATTACTTTGTGATTAATGTGTCTAGTCCGAACACTCCTGGATTGAGGTCCTTACAGAATAAAAAGGATTTGGAACAATTGCTAATGAAGATAAACGAAGTCAGACAATCGATAGAAAGCAGGCAACCGCTCCTCTTGAAACTTGCCCCGGATCTGTCCGATTCGGAGAAGCAGGATGTTGCAGACGTGATACTAAAGAAGAAAACCAAAGTAGACGGTTTAATATTGTGCAATACCACGATTACTCGGAATAATTTAACGAGCTCGCTTAAAGAGGAGACCGGTGGGCTCAGCGGAGCTCCGCTTACCGATGTGTCCACCGCGATGATTTCCGATATGTATAAGCGAACCCATGGTACCGTTCCTATCATTGGGGTCGGTGGCATTTTCACGGGAGCAGACGCTTATGATAAAATTAAAGCTGGTGCTTCGTTGGTCCAATTGTACACATCGTTCGCGTACAGAGGACCACCGGTAATAGGGAAAATTAAACGAGAATTAAACGAAATGCTGAAACGGGATGGTCTAGCGTCTATCAAAGAAGCAGTCGGAAAGGACGCCGACGTCGGATAAATTGTTTTAAACGATTTTGAAGTTTTAATGGTTACCTGTTAATTCTATTCATTTTAAACAACATGTATTTAATACGGACGACAATTGTTACCATTTTTTTTTTACAGGAGTTACAGGATTGTTATTGTATACGGCATCGATAGATGTATCGATAATAAAAAAGTCTATACGGTACGCAGTAAATTTTTCTAACGTTTATTCGAGTAACTGAGTTATACAAACATGTCTCTATTCGAATTCGTGTATTCTTATACGTTCGTCGTGAGGCTTATTAGCACAACTATCCAGAAGCATCAATCTTTTGATTACAGTACCCGCTTTTCGGTTACGAATATTACAAGTAATGCAATTTTATCCGCGACCCGGTATCGGGTCATACATTAATTACACACGTACGCTACGATTAATACTCGCTGGTAATGTCATCTTGGTAAAGTTACAATAATATTAGTTAATTCGATTGTCCCTCGCAACGATCCAAACGGAATCGTGAGCATTTCAGACACAACAACTAGACACCGTTAAAGTTAAGAAAAAGCTACAACAACTACAACTCCGCCCTGTCGCGTCTCGTTTTGTTTCTATTTTTTTTTTCTTTTTGGTACCGTCGCCCGCAACGCTTAACAATTAACATAAATAAAAATCGACGCGTCGCGTACGTTCCAAGTTAATGTTCTCTACGGAACGCTACGGTCGCGCGTCTGTAAGCTGAAAGCGAAAGAAATAGATCGTCGTTGGTCGGTTCGCCGCAGTCCGTATACGAATTAAAAGTTTCAGGTACACGAGTCACGTTGGAGAAGTCGCAACGTTCGGTATTCAATGCAAGCCGAGATTTCCACCCAGGCCCTGCTCCTTCCTCCATTGGGCCAGTCGAATCCCGTACCAGGCCTGAATCAACGAAAAAGTTGCATTACACCGATCGAATCGAAGACACCGCACGAATAACCCTAGAACGCTACCATTCGATTTTACAAATACATATAAATAAAAAATAATTTTAAGGAAAAGCATGTGCTATCTTGTTGGCCATGTATAATATACTGGAATGTTATAAAATTTTCATCAAAAAATAATTGTTTTTAGGAGAAATATGTAAGAAGAAGTGTGGTTTCGAGGAGCCCCTTTTGGGCGTTTACGTGGTACAGCTCGATGCTCGGGCGTTCTCGGGTTAAACACCAGAGCCCTGGGCTTTTTAGATGTAAACCACGTCCAAGGATGTCTCTACTACGTGGCTTACATTCAGGTGCCTGAACTCCGGCCATCGCTAACTAGGGCCGCTAGAAAACCCATATAGTTGCGAGTCGTTTCGAGGTCTAAACTGATCGACTATAAAACTGTGTGCTTTCCAGAAATAGCAAAAAAAAAAACAGAAAGTAACAGAAACCTCGACGTCCTCCTCGGACAGGCCGGTTTCGGCTGCTAGCAGAACGACATCCGCCGTGTGAGGTGCTCTTGGCCATCTGTTAAACTGCTCCTGAAGAACCGCCTCTTGGTCCGCCGTCAAACGAATCACTCGAACGTCTGACCCACCTCTGGTAGGGTATCGCGGTGAGGCTGATCTCAGCATTCTGTCTGCGAACAGAGAAACACCACTGTTGTTACAACACCGTGTTGTTTGTGGTTTCTTCACGCGAGGTTTGTAATTATTTAGAAAAGGGAACCCAGCCCCGATGACCTTGACATATGTTGCCAAGGGCAATATTCCTAACACATGTCAAGGTCAAGGTCATCGGAGCTGAGTCCATTTTTCTAAATATTTACTGCGAGGCCTTCCATAGCCGGAACCATAGCAAGGTGGAGGGTCATAAAAGAATTGTCGAACGGCATCTTCATCGAAAAAAAGACGCCTAATGACGCCTTGAAGACAGCTTTAAAACGCCTCAGACCTAAAATAGCCGTAAAATGGGCGTCTTCAAGGCGTCATGTGCTATCTGGGAAGTGCACAAGTTGCTCGAAGTTGTACAGGTCACTGTCGAGGTGTCGAAGGAGTGCGGCAATTATCGCGACAAAAGACACGTGAATCACCGCGACGTGTCGCGAATATGGGTCTCAAATATACCCTTTTACGGAGGACTGAACCTGTCGATCCACCGTAAAGGCGTGCACGAGAACCGACCGCCCGGTAAATTGACATTCGTTACATAATCTCTACTCCCATTATCAACGGGGACATACACCGCGTAGGCGTGTTGATCGTAACAGTTGTATAATAACAGGGTGATTACGTAAACAGGTAGAATCCAATTTCGCATTCATGCGATTATTACAGCACCCGGATTAACGAGCTTTGGTTAGCCTCGCGTTAATTGGACGGATAGCATCGTGGAACGAAGCTCTACCACCCTGTGAACTTCTTTTTCATAAAACAACCTACAAATATTGTTTTTTTTTTCGTACGAATACGTTCTTTCGTGATTTTCCCGTGTTTCAGTGGGAACTCGCGAAATCGATGTGTCCTCGGGGCTTCGCGTGTTGCAGAAATAGCACGACATTGACCCGACGTCAGGGTCGTTCTACGTGTAGTTTTGGATTCGATTCAAAACTCCCAATTTCGCGGGAACGTAAATAACAGAAGTCGAGGAGACTGGCAACGATCAGCACACCGTACCGATTCGTTCTTCCCTGAACGCTGAAATTATGTTTCAGGGATGCCTCGAGGGGGAGGAACGTGGAAGACTATTCTCCTGGTACCACGGTAAATAAAAAAAACTGATTCGTCTCTCGACGTGACATGCAATTTTGGGCTGTCCATAAAAATAGTTCATCCTTGTATACGCGGGTCGTGTCACAAAGATTACATACAAAATTAATTTGATTTAATTCTGTTTATCTGGAATTTTCATATTCGTCAGAAAAGTTTTGATTACTTTTCTCACCAGCCAAAATTTTACATATAGTAAACGATCTTTGGCCGCCCAAGTGCGGGGCCACTTTTTGCACCCCCGCCAGGAACGGCCCTGGTACAGACAATCGGACAAGAATTCCGTAAATTTTAATCTGTACTTTTCTGTCCTAGTCACTCACTTGGCTCGGCGAACGTGAATTTCACTCTCTGCGGCGTTCTCTTGGGCACCTCCGGATAAACGGTGCGACGCTCGCACAGGTAGCACTTCCGTTCGTAGAAGTAAGACGTGATGGCCCTCGATGTACTCATCGCGTCTAATGGATGTCGTTCCAGCCGAATCGAATCGTAGTTACTATGTTCGCGGTCCACGCGCGACTGATACCGCGATCAGTTTCGCGCTTGGTAATAATATAAAAATGTAAATCGATGCGTTACACGTGGGAGATGATGAACAGCCTTGATGGCATGCGCGAATCTAACGCGACCGACCAGTTCCATTGCCAAAAACGTTAATTATAGGGGGTCACGTTGTCTTCCGCCTCCTGAATCATCCGGGCCGATTAAGACGAAAGACATTTGGCCGCGTAATCACGAAGACATCTCGATGGCCCTTTTGAACCGATCCTTTATTCGAAAGAAGAACGTGGCAAACAAGTGCGCTCGATTATGGCGTATTACGCGTGGCATAAATTACCGATCGATTTGCTTCTTTGGCAAAATCAAACGAGTCGTTTGATGTATAATAGAATCGAGCGCCCGTAGAAATAACCGGTAATGGGCGGATGTGCTTTTGGAATCGTTATGTCATACGAAATCGCCTGAAATGGACAGACAGTATCCATCGTTTATCAAAGTAACAGAATAAATATTTAGTATTCTTGTTTCACGGGCTAAATCAATTTAAAGTGAGATAGGATATCAGGGCACGTAATGACACCATTAAGCACCTCATGAGCCAATAGTAAGTCAAACGTAACACGTCTCCGTTCTAGAGGCCATAATTTTAATTGATTATGTATATAAGAGAAATCGTGGGCATAAATCGACACTGAACGGCCCATTCGATAGGCAGCCAAAATCGATGCTGTGTACTTTCCAACATATTACAAAGGTAATGCTGGTATGGAACATGTGAACAGTATAGAATTCTTAAAATATCTAGAAGCTTTATTAAGGGGATTAGGCAATCGAAAAATCGATATTTTTTTATTGCATTTCTCGAAATTACTATCCTGTCTGAATAAAATGCCGTTTAGCTTATATTCAAAATTGTTGATTTGGCAGCTAATTTTGGGATTAAATGTCGACGGAATTTTAAACAGTTGCTCAGGTACTTGAATTAAATTTACCAACTGGTAGTAGCCTCTTATTCTTATGCCACTATTTTCCCTAGCGGAAGCCGAGAGTTTGTTCGCTAGGGTACACAGGTTTTCGTCGCGGGACGCGTGGGCGGTACGTCGCCTCGGGCCGTCTTACGGAGCAACCTGGTGGAATGTTAAACTTGACCTACAAATCGGAACGCATGCCAAGTAAACAGACACGGACAGAACGGCGGTGATCGAGGACGGCTTCCGATCGGTACCGCTCCTCAAAGTCAGAAAACGTTCGCTCGTCGAGCCGTGATCACGATCGGCGCTCGTGTTCGCGGTTTTCCGCAGGCGTGTCGCCGTGCGTTTTCGTGTCAACGGAGTTTCACGTAAAAAACAAACAGAAGGAATTTTAAGGCGGGAAAAAAAGAAAGTCCTCTCTGGTTGTGTTAATGTTTATTTCGTCCGCGTCTTGTTGCTTGAGAAAGCGTAAAATAGAGTACAGTATATTCTCGATGAGTGTTCGAAAACTTGTCGACACTGATAGGGAGAGTAACACTAGAACTACCAAGCAAGTCAAAATAACTTGCCAATACACTTAAAAGGCTGATGAGCCTTCGAACACTCATCGAGGATTTACTGTACACTCGCGAGCAAACTCGACTTCCACTAAGAGAAAAAGTGACGTAGAGGAGGGACCTCCTACTATGCTCCTACCTCTTGGTATTGGGACATACTGAAGTTTATGCCAAATTAACATTCATTTTAACATTTATTTCAAGTACCGAAGTAAATCTTAAATCGAATATTATTGGCGAAATTTATTTGGCATAAATTTCAGTAATTCCCAATACCAAGTGGTAGGAGGCCCATTCCCTACGCCACTTTTTTCCCTAACGGAAGCCGAGTTTGCTCGCGAGGGTACATCGCCTTGAGCATCATCAAAGCTCCGTGTACAGGGGACTGTACTCGACGTCGTCGTATAATTCGTGCAGCTTATCAGGCGTGCAGTAAACGGGCATGTCCTCCTCGTAGAACTGCAGGAAGTCCAGAAGATTATCCTCGAGCTCCTGGTGGTACACCGAGCCGGCGTATCTCGCCTCGATGCTGCGTCGATCCATCTCCTGCATCTGAAAGACACGTTGTGTTCTGCGTGTAAATGATCCTGGATGAAGAATTGCGATTTCCAAGGAATCATCAGGAGCACTCACTGGCTCCCATTTGGACTTGGTCAGAGCACTGATGCAGTCGTCGATCAAGGACTGACCAGGAATCGCCTGTCGCAAGAATAATGTTCAGTGTTGTTCATCGTTACACGTCATAAAACCTCCTTTCTAACCGGCTTAATTTACCGTTTTAGATAACAAAAGGGCTCGGTTCTCCACCCGAAGACAGTCGAATCGGTCGTAGAAGAGCGCCGTTGCCCACGGTTCTCGGAAGTACGCGTAGAAGTCCGAGATCAACGATTTCTGACACGGTGAAATCGTTCCGTTAGTGACGCTACGACGAGTCAAATGTACAGTGGACTCTCGCGATATTGCCACTAAACATATTGCCACGCGAGGCACTTCCCTTTCACACCTAGGATTACGCCTAAAATTTGTATGATCATCAGAAAAGTTTTGATTATTATTCTTACTAGTCAAAATTTTGCATAAACGTGATAACCCTTTAGCACCCCCGCCAGGAACGGCCCTGGCCCCGACCATGGCGAATATAGTTAGAGTCCACTGTACTTCGTAGAAAACTCACTTGGAATCGCGTCTTCAATTCGTTCAACAGTTTCTCGTGCATCCCGTACAACTTAATCATTTGATGGACTTCGAAATCCTGAAAGGAATCCCAGGTATTTAAAGAACTTTTGGTTCACGAGGAGAACATCTACCTTTTTGCTCAAACAGGTGATCATTTTCACGGTGTCGTAGCAGCTCAGACGCAGACGGAAGTAGCCGATATCGGACTCACAGCTACCAGTGACCATGTCGGTACCCTTGAACGGAGTCGTCGAATTTCGAAGGTTCATCGAAATTTAATGGCAAAACGAGAGAATCAGTCCAGAAAGAGACTCACATAAAATTCCCGATGAAGCACCCGTTTTTGTTGGGTACCGTGTTTGCCAGGCGTGTGAACGTGGAGATAACGATAGCCACCGGGCAGCGTGCAGGCGACGACGTGACCGGATCGAAAGGACGGAAACGCCGTCTTTTGCTTCTTGGGCTTCGACGTCGTCGTCGCAGCTGTCTCAACGTTCTGTTCGTCGATGATCGATCGCAGAACTTTCGCGAGCTTGCAAGAAAGCGTGCCCACGCGTTCAGAAAAATGTTTGCACGTGAAATCACGTTCAGGTACAGATTCCTCTCGATTAAAAAGACAGCAAAGTACAGGCTCCTCCTGATTATCGTCTAGCTTGTGCTACACGATTATTGTCCAGGTGTTATCCCCGCCACTGGGGGGTGTGGGGAACCTGTCAAGCGCATACTTTGTTGTCCCCCCACTTTTATTTTCAAGGCTCGGGCTTCCGACAAAAATCGAATTTACGAGGGTCTGAAGCATTTCTCCAGACAATAATCGAGAGGAGTCTGTAGTAGCTATACTAACTCTCTCGCCGATTTCTATGCTGTTGTAATATTTATGCTGCCAGGCCTCCGCGCTGAACCTTCTACTGTACTTGGTGCCGGTACCAGCGGCGAAGATGAACGGATCGTTCGTCCTGAACTCCGGATCTATCACCAGTTGACCGTCGAACATCAGTCCAGCTCGACAGAAAGCTGAAACGAGTGAATCGAAACGGCGTCAAGAATTGTGGTGGTGTTCTTTGAACGTAACACGAGCGCTTCTATTATTGTCCCTTCCGTTGATTCCCTCAGATACCAGTCGACCAATTCCCATTCCGCGAGGATCGTCACGCCGCTGATCGATATCGCGTTCATCACTACCGCGTGCACCTTCGGACACGACCTGCTGGTTTCACTCGGTACGAAAAGGAAATTTCTCGGGTTCACACGGATTTCGTACCTCGCAATCGTTGTAGAAAATGCTGTCGTGTGAATCACACTGATCCATCGGCGGCTCAATCAACGTGATCCAAGAACCATCCATTCCGGACTCGAGCAATCCTTGAAGAGCGCAGTAGCAATCGATGTTCCGTCCGTATAAAATAATACTCTCTGAAAGACACGGTGTGCTGTCACGTTCTGCGGTTTGCATAAAATACACTGGCCGAAATTTCTATAAAGTCACCATGTTTCTCGATGAATTCTTATAATTATTCCATTCGAATGAAAAGTATATTTATTTTTCTAAGCCAATCTGTACGCTTTCTTTAATTAATCCCAAAATGCTACCAAACACAAAATTTTTCATTGGTATGGAATACTTATAAGAATTCATCAAAAAAACATGGTGACTTTATAGAAATTTCGGCAAATCTAGTAGCCGAAGACTGACTTTGGTCCTCGAAGTTGTTCGTCAACAACTGGATTTTGTTCAGACACATGGCCGCCTGCGTGTCGTCGTTTAGAACCAGACAGTTCCACGGTGGCCCGCGATCCACAAACTCTCTGCACGCAGAGAAAAGCATACTTGCGAATATTCGTACGAATTTCATAACTGGACCGCGGATGTTTATGCAAATATAAATTTTCCATGGGCTAATTGGGACACTCTGTATATTCAATTCTAGAGAATCTTGCACGCTGTAAATCCATAAAATCCGCAGTCTACGTAGAACTTTCGTAATTGTCGACTGGTTTACCCTGTCCTTTGCGCGTCCAGCTCCGCCTCGAACTGCGGCATCTGATACTGTAATCCGCAAGTCACGATCAAGTAGTCGTACGCGACGTTTCCCTGACGCATCACCGTCACATACTTCCCCTTCCTATCGATCACACGGCCAATTAAGTATTCAACCAGAGACGATAACGGATCGTCGTCGATCCTTCAAGCAGGTACTTAAACCGGTATGATTTTGATACCGGTATTATCCCATCCGAAAGCGATATATTACCGAAAACCGAAATTAATACCGGTATTTTTTCGATTTCTATAAGGGTAGGTCTTATATAGGGTTATAGTGAACGAAGGTACAACCAGTATTTTACGTTTCGGTAGAAGTCCCTGTCTTCGAGTACCTGTCGATCGCGATCACGGTCCCGTACACGACGTTGATCCACGAACGTGCGGTGACCGTTCGACGATATTCTCGGCAATACCGTCCATAAAATGGCATCATACTCGCGACCATAGGGCTTCGTTCATTCTCAAACGGCAAACCATTCGGCGATATAACCGTCAGATTCGCGAATCGAGTGGAATCGTGAGTGGACCTACAAACAGGTGAATACACTCCATCTATTCAATTGTGCGTTTCAATTTTTAGAAGTCGAGCACGTTTACCCGAAAGCAAGCTGTTCCAGGACAGCTACGCCACAATCCGAAGCCCCTATCACAACGATCTTCGTGTCGAAAATCAGATTGCCGCTTGTTATTATTCTCGGCGTGGTCATGAAGAGCGAGAACGGTTCCCTGTTTGTGTCCGGTTCATCGGTTTCCGTGAGCCCCCGAAACCTGTACTCGATCCTTCGTCGGGGACGGACGTGCACCATGGCGGTCAAGCAAATCGCGAGTGGTTGCGCGCGCGTCTGAAAATCGCCGTAGGAAAAACGATTCCTCCGAGACACGGCTTAAAACGAAAGTACGTATACAGAGAGTGTTTACCAGCGCGCTCAACGCGTTCCCAGTCAGTCGATAATAAAAGACGATCAGCCCGCTGAGACGCATCGTTTCGGAGAAGAGGTGGCGCAGGTGAATGGAGAAGATCGGCATCAGAACGAAGTGAAGCACGCGAGCGTACGCGTCCTGAGGCACGTCCTTCGTCGCGATGTAATCCTCTACGTGGAAACGCCTTCTGATGTATGTTACCTCTTTCTCGACACTGATCACACAAGGATTACCGTGGATATTCCTTCAGAATTTCGTGTCTGAGATCCAGGTACTTGGCCAAGTATTACCAAAGGATCATTACGCCGACGACTTTATTGTTCCACGTGAACACGTAACTGTGCAAGTCTGATTGTTCTTTCCTCGTAGCTACGTCGAAATCCGCGAGAATGCTGTCCGCCTTTGGAATACTGCCTAACAATTCTTGTACAGCTTCCAAATCGCAAGGATCACCTGCGCGGGTCTCTATCTCGCCCAGAAGAGCAGCACGATGGGTCACGTGCAGGATCATTGGATAGTCCCTGTTGGATCTAGCTGGTACCCGCTGAATAGATCGAGGCGACATTACAAGAGGTATTTCATTGCTTTTGGTGACGAGAAACCGCATACAGACTCCTCTCGATTACTGTCCCGAACTAGAGCCCTCGTCGGGACAATAATCTTGTCGGGAGAAATGCTTCAGACTCTCGTAAATTCGTTTTTTGCCCGAAGTCCGAGCTTCGGCAATAAAGTACAGACTCCTCTCGATTACTGTCCCGAACTAGAGTCCTCGTCGGGACAATAATCTTATAGGGAGAAATGCTTCAGAGCCTCGTAAATTCGTTTTTTTTTGCCCGAAATCCGAGCCTTGGAAACAATAGTGGACGAAAAATATGCGCTTGACAGGTTTCACGCCACCCTCCCCCCTCGGTGGTGGGTACGCTTGGACAATAATGGCGTAGAACAAGCTAGAAGATAATCGAGAGAAGTCTATACCACGAAACTCTCGAGAAGAGGAAGCGGCGGATGGGAGAACGGCAGAAGAATCGCGCAGTATTCCAAGTCGGGGAAACACTCGAACGCAGCCTCGAGGAAGTTTCTACCGGAACGGTACTTGATTCGTTCCTGCACTGTGAAAATCTCCACGACGAACGCGTTCGGTTCGCCACAATAAACAGGTCGCGTGGGAAGTCCCGTCTGTTCTTCCGGTTTTGTTTTACTTTCCACCGGTGACGGAGCATCGATGTTCCGCAGAAAATCGTCAGCGATGTCCTCGAAACCATGCAGTAGAATCCTCGATAGAAAATACTTATTGTAATCGTCACTGGCCGTTCGTGCATCGTCCACAAACAACGTTGATCGTTTCCGGTTCTTCTGGTTCGTTTTCTGATCGGCTAAACTGACGAAGCTGCCTTCCTCGATCGGTCTCTCCCAACCTTCCAGTGTCTGATCCGAGGGTATTATAATCGGGACTCCTCCGTCCCTGCATTAAAAATGCGAAATTTCTAATCCGTCAATGCTCCAGGTTTCATAGTTCTAGAATTAATTTGGGGGCCGTACATTTCCTCTTGAGGCTTTCCCGAGAAACTCGCAAAGAAAGTCTCGCTCGGCGGTTCCATGCTCTCTGGAGGGAACAGATCGTTCTCGTGTGGCTTCCTAAGGCCATTGTACGGGCCAAGCTCGAAATTCTCGTTGAGCACGTCCACGTCTATTCGCCTGTTAAGAAACATCACGCCAGAGGGTAGGCCTTCGGCGTCCTCGGACACGATCAGCTGGCGGTAGTCGTTCGGATAACGAACTATCTCGCTGACGTAATACTCCCCGTAGTACTCCTTCAGGAGACTCGATTCGGCATCGATCAACGGTACCACGATGTCGTTGTCCTCCTCTCTGTGCCAGGTAAAAAAGATCTCTTATTTACTATCCTTGGAAGCTCACTATCCGGGTCTGTATTCGGACCGAGACAATTGAGCCTCACACGACGCGTCGAATCTTCAACCTCGAATGTTTCAAAATTTCAATTGTCCTGTAGACGCATTGTACGGAATCTGTGTTCCCGTGACACTTGGACGGGACCCTGATCATCTGTTTCTCGAACACGTTCGCTGAAAAATCACAGGGAGAAGATATGTTCACGGTATATGTCGGTTCACTTTCCAGTTGTGTCAGTTCGGTGTCGTTCCACCGGAGAATCGGTTCTCTCTCTATCGCGTGGGGTCACCTAGAATAACCCGAGGTGGAAGCACGAGGATCACGTGAGACAGATACGAGGCGATGTCGAACAGTCCGGTCAGAAGGTCCTCGAAGAAACGACCCATGTATCGACTGTCCCACACGAGGAAGTGCACGAACAGAGCGTTCCTTGTCGTCACATTTTTGAGCCTGCTCGCGAACGGAGCGTTGGTAGGTAAACGGACGTACGATCTTTGACCGTTTCTCTATTCAGTGTTGGTCAATCGGAGACACGCAATTCGTCGATCTAGGTCTTAATTGTTCTGTCTCCACTAACAAGGGAAGGTACGGAAGTGTCTCCCTGCGATTTTGATTTTCTTGGGACCAACGAGACGTACGTAGATTGATTAAGTAAATTTTTCTGATAAATCGAGTTAGAACACTTAAGAACTCGGGCGACGGATTTCGAAACTGTGAACGAAATTGCGTTTTACCCGTATAGCGTGTCCAGCCAGTACGGCCAGTCCTCCGGCGGGACCGACGGCACGTTTGGATAATTGCACAGGCATATGCCTGCGATGACATCGCGTCTCTCGTTCCATTGGACCACCGACAGACAGCTCGCCTCGCTGGAAATCGCAACGTTCCCTGTGATCTTATTTCGAAACCTGTCGAATGCACGCATAGACATAGAAATATAAATTGCGCGTTTCCCTGAAAACGGGCGTCCCATGTTTAAAAAGACGCCACAGATAGCACATCACGTGCGTGAATTTTTTTTTTCTTTTTTTTCCTGTGTTTTCTTTTCTGTCTTTTTTCTTATTTTAGTATTATGTATTATGCACTGAATATTATGTACAATCTTACACAAATTTCAAGATTGAAAATGCATTTATAAGAGTGTTTTCATATTTATGTATTAAAATATTTTTCTGTGTGAATTCTTTATGCCAAAAGTTTTAACGCCTATCAATGTGAAGCAGAATTGAGGTAATAGGGTAACGGTCACATTGAGCCGTAAGGATAGTCTTATACCTGCTTAAAAGAATGGTCGACTACCTGCTCGTTGTGGGCGAGTAACTCTGCAGAATGATTTTTGTTGTTGGGCGTCAGTTTGCTTCGTTCATCGTGAGAGTAACATCAGAAAAGATATCTTGAAATATAAAAATGTGTAGTGATTTTGTGAGTGCAAGTGGTTTTCACGGAGTAGCAGCTATCGATAGTGAAGTAAAGATCGATATGTGGAGTGGATGGAATGTGTGCGAAGGCGTGTTAAAAACTAATAATTACATGTAGGAATCGCAATCTACGAAAATGTCACAGACAATCACACAAATTGCACATGAAATGTACAGTCGTACAGTTACCTCAATTTTGCTTGACAATCGCAAGCACAGAAAAATATATTTGCAGTACATATATATGAAAACACTCTTATAAATGCATTTTTAATCTTGAAATTTGTGTAATATAGTACATAATATTTAGTATATAGTATCTAATACTAAAACAAGAAAAAAGAAAGAAAAGAAGACAACAACAGAGGGGAAAAAAGGAAATAAAAATTTATAACGTCTCTTTTGGATTCGAAACCGGTAGACACAACCCTTTCTTGGTGACAAGTTTTATGTAACCATACTACTTGACACATGCAAAACTTTAAACCAAAATATCTCGAAAACCAAGGCCAATTCTGAAGAAATCCATGAGGGTTTTGTAATACTACATATGTACTATAACTTCCACATAGTGCCTTTTCCTTGTAAGTGGTGGGGAGTGAAGTTTTGGGGGTTTGGGTTTTGTCTATATTAGAATCTGACGCGCAGTCTACATTTCTATATCTACGAATGCACGCCGTTCCGGAATCGTTCGGTTAATTGGATCGAATAAAAACGGCACAAGATTCGTCCGAGGTTCACGTCGCCAAACATGGTGTACGTATCGGGGTGTATCAGTCGTTCGAGGATCGACAGATCGCTGTGCTCCATCCGTCTGACGCCGAGAATCTTCGACGATGCATCCTCGCTATTCCTTAAGCCGTTGAAATATACTTCTGGATCACCAAACCAAATGTTCATCATATTGAGAAAACTGTTACGAAACTTCCAACAAAGTGAAATTCGTCGCGGAATCCACGATATTTCACGACAATCTTCAAACGTCAGACCCTGATAACCAATTGTGAACAAGTTTCGAGCAAATAGCCAGCAATAAATAACAAAACTTGTCGAAAAAACCATAGCCATCTGTCTCCGCATTTGACTTGGGTGTTGCAGGCGACGACAGCTGACAAAATGATAAAGCAAATTGGCGGAAAAGTCGTGCAACATAATCTATCACAAATCGAGAGACAAAACCGGAATAACAAAGTGTCTGTCATCAAATCAACAAACTTGTAGTCATAACTTTATAGCAGTCATTGGGCAAAATTTGACTTTGCAGGATTTGGCTGACTGGGGATGAAAACTTCATCCCACGATACAGTATTCGGTGGATTTTCTTCGAGTATTGTTAATCGACGGCAATGTCGAAGATCCATTCCGTGGGATCGAATTACGAGCACGAAGGATTATTATGCTTTCGCCGAGGCCTCTCAATAACGAACAGCTATTTCGCAATCTTCTTGATTGGCTGTCGAGAATATTGTCCCGATTCCCTGCGTCGTCGAAAGCAACGACTTGTCGATGTTTCGAGACTCAAACGAGCGCCACCTCATCTTCGCGTACCTTTTTAAATGGGGACCACGAACGCAGGGGTTCGGATAAGGGAGGAACGATCTCGTGCCAAGGAGGAAACAGTCGATCGAATTATGTACAGAGTCTCGACTTGACCGTGGGAAAACCGAGTTCGACTATACGGGCCCGACAAGGCGACCGACTTTAACCAGTTAAGCGTGGAATTTAGTTTTAAAAACCCTCCACCGTGTGCGGAATTAAAATCAGGCTATGACGTCAAAATGGTCCTATTATAAGTTTTATGAAAAACGAGGAAGAACTTCATTTTTATTTATCATCCCACCACCCCCTCTGTATAAAATACTCAGCAGTTCTATTGGTAATATAAAGGAAACATTCCATCAAATAATATTCTTATTGGATTTCATTAAAATTTAGAGATTTTATAGTCAATGGTAATTTTTTATTTCTCACGACGTGTATACACGTCGAACGCACCGTAATAAAGATTTGGTTCGACGTGTATACACGTCAAACACACTTAACTGGTTAACGGTCCCACAAAAAAGGTAATAACGAAACTCCCTCGAACGATTTAAACACCGAGGGGCAATGTAATTGCTTCGCGTTCTCGCTTCCCCTCTCTTTCCCCTGTTTCTCGTCCCGTTTACCTTTCTTCTCGATTCAGCCAATGGCTCACGTTCACCGCTTCGAAACAACGAATCCTTATCGCAATAACAAACCAAAGTCAATCGACTTCCGTGCGTTTACGAAAAATTACAGTAACGCCATTTCCATCCCTTAGAGTCCAAGGCTTACGAGGGGTAACTTTGCTTAACCTCCCTCTGTTAGACAGTCGATTGCTCTCCATTAGAGTTACCGATTTTTTCGGAAAGTATCGGTTTTTAAAAAAATCGAAAATTAGGGGAAAAAGATCGATCATCCGATTAGTCGATCACAAATCGTCAACTTTATTCTCGATGCGAACTACAGTCCGTGAAAATGTCGGAGGGCACCGAACGGCCCGGGTTGTGGTCGTTTTTTCTTTGCGCCCCGACGCGCATCGCGGAAGCTATTTGCGGCGCGTGCAACGGCGAACACGTGCGCGGCGGAACGATGCAATCGGGAATGACCGAGAGTATCGTTACGGTACGTTGGCGTCGTTGCACTTTTCGCGGGCGTCGCGGTATATACCGTTTCGCGAGTCGAGAAAAATATCCACCGTTTCCAAGAGCCCCGTTGTTATTCTAATTTCTTCCGTCCACGACGCGTGTCCACGGGAACGAAATGAATTCGAGACTCGGCCCCGTATCGTTTCCGAGAATCTTTAACGATCTGCATCATGCAACGCCCGCAGGTAATGATGTGACTATACGACTAGTATACGAGTGCTGTTACAAAGATTACATATGCAATTAATTTGATTAAATTCTGTCGGTCTAAAATGGTCATAAGCATCGGAAAACTTTTGATTATTATTCTTACTAGTTCAAGTTTTAGATATAATAAACGATTTGCGGCCGCCCTGGTGCGACAGCGCCTTCTGCACCTCCGCCAGGAACGGCTTTGATTTTCGATACCCTTTTCCAAGTTTCAATACAGAATCGATACATAGCAAAGACGTGGTTATCAAAAAGAATCGGTATCTATTTGATACCTACCCAAAAGTATCGATACTTGTTTCATACCTACACGAGAATATCGATACCTATTTGATTGATTTCAAGGACCACTTTTTTTACACCCTGTATAAAGGCAACCGCGTGCGCGTATTCGTTCCAACCAATTGGAGGTAATTAAGTGAAACCCGAGCGGTGGAAACCGGAGACGAAAAGCGCGCGCTCGACCGATCGATAACAGTTTTGCAGACCGAGTGGAAGAAGGGGTTTTCTGCTCGAGTCGGGAACGACGATGATCCAAGCAGAAGTTTCTAATTAACTTCGCCGGATTCTTCGGTTGCGCGAACAACGAGCTTTTTATTAACACTTTAATGTCGAATGACGTAGTAACATTGGCGTAACTAGATAGGGGCCAGGAGGGGGGTCTGCACCCTTGTCTATAAATTATTGAAATATGTAGAAAACCATTCGTCAGTCAGTTAAATCTTAATATCGTATTTCATTATTGAAACTTTCAAGTATCATTCCATACCTTCCCTTGTAAGTAAAATAATTAACCAGTACAACCAGTACTTTTTTCGTTTTTAACGTTACGACGACATCGGTTCGAACGACTATAAATCGGAAATTTCACGTCCAATCTGCCAATCGAACACTAACGGCGGAACGTTCGAACACGTCGCAAGCGTTACGTCAGACGAAACTCCGTACGAATTTCCGACTTGCGAAACGTCGACTCGTTCCTTGTTCCTTTACTTTTACTTTTACTCGAGTTCCCACAATTCCGCCGTGCACGGCTTGCCCGCCACCAGCGAACCGGGAGGGAAACGACAAACACGTTGCGTTCCTTCGGTTGCGCGGGAACCGAGGGACTAACGGTAATCCATCGAAACGTATTGTTTATTTCTACGGGAAAGTAGACCGGCTCCGTGTGTGTCTGCCACCTAGGTGGGCTGACACGAAATATCCGGAGCGTGGGCTCGATCTCGCGAGATGAGATTCGAGGGAAAATTATCCTAATGGTTCGCTCTCACGCAGCACCAGATTAAAGGGGGGGGGGGGAGCATAGTCCCGGGCCCCACTTTCAGAGCTTACAGGGCTCTATAAAATACAATAAAAGACAAAAGTTTCATCAGATGTAACGAGGTTTCTGCTTTATTCTTAACCTAATAAGATACTTAAGGGAGAAAAGAAATTCCTACTTTGTTCTCATCCTCATGAATTACTTTATAAAATGTCATTATGCAGAAAAATCCGCGGCCTAGTTATAACCAAGCAGTCGTTAAGATTGACTAATATTTAATTTCACTTTACAGTAAATTTGAATTTCTGGAGATTTATGTATTTTATTGTATGTTGCATTACAAAAACTTTGTGCCCCCTCCCCTTCGATTTTCAACCAATGGGGCCCCCTGATGGTTTAATAGCCCTGGGCCACGAGAAATCTTAATTCGGGCCTGCTCTAACGATACTTATAGCAACACTGTGCCTTCAGCCCTCAACGAAGCTGGTTGGCAAATAATGACATTGGCAGCAGTTTTTTTGCAAAAGGACACAAGATATCCTCAAATCAGTTGAGTAAAAATGGAAAAGGCACTTTTAGTCCCGTTGCTCGCCATTGGTTGTGTTCGTTGTCATACGCGATTATTGACCGTTACCACTTCGCGGTACGTGTTCGATCCTCGATCTCTTGGCTGGGCGAACCAGCGAGCCAGCTCAAAGTACACCTTCGATCTGTTCCACTTCTTTATTGCGTCGCAGAAACGCAACAACCTTGCACAAACGGTTCGTGTCTTCACGCTAATCGGCTATTGTTTGAATATCGTTTATTGTCGCGTTATCTGATTGCACAGGTGTATCGTGCGTCATTCACTGGATTAGCAAGATCAGCGCCCGAAATGTTCACCTTCGTTAAGATCAATCGGGGATTATTACCGTACGGAATTTTTGATAAAACACGCGAAACAGATTGTCCTAAATAATTCGATCTTGGCAAGTATAGCAGCTAGAAAGCATGTTAGTGGTTAGGTATGTTTTCAAGGAATGTAGGGGCTCGTCAATAAAATAGACAAAAAAAAATGGAGAAACGTAGCTTCGTTCGCGTTCGAAACAAGATTCAGGCAAAGCTTACCTGTTGCTCGTCGAGCTTCGATCCGTGTCGCAAAAGAACGCGTTGGTGAACGAGCTACACCCTCGCTCGGCGACGTTGCGCGCTAAACTGTGGATCAGACGACGAACACTTTCGGAGATCAAGCAGCCGTCTCTGCAACTGCAACGCGAAAGAGAGTCGCGAAGGTGGGAGGCACGGGGAAAGTATATACACACTGAACGTTTGCTGGTCCGCCTGTGCCGTTATCGGAAATTGTAGGCAAATGAAAATTTTCTATCCCGTTCATATCCTGCTTTCCCCACGGCTAATATCCAGCGATCGACCAAGTACAGTAAATCCTCGATCACTGTCCGAAGGCACTTGGGCAGGGAACATTGAATATTTCATAAACTAATGGGCATATACGGCTGAAACAAATATCATCTGCTTCAGAATTCCAAGCTCTATCATTGCGTTAAACCTCGTTAAAAAAGGCATCGTTACACCTGGGGATATTTCCTTGCCAGTACCGAGGAGCCTTCGAACTCTCATCCAGGATTTAATGTACCCTTAAACCGTTGGACAATCAGTTGGATACTCTACTCCCGAGTGTCAACTAGTCCGTAGAGTTTGTTGCCACGTCCAACGTCTGAATTCACTTGTATCGGTAAAACCAGTGTGTATCGTTAATGTAACTAAAATCCAACACGTGACCGCGCTGGCCACGCACGATAATACGGCCTTCACCCAGTTACATCACCCACGTTGGAATTGCTCTAATTACGCGGTACGGTGCTGTATACATTCCGCGTGCAAACGCGGACGAAGGAGAGATTTACGCGCGCGGGATGCCTTCTGTTCGAGGACCAATTCGATCAAGCGTAGGTTAGTACGATCGATAGCCAGGACGATTTAAAAATATAACCATTTATTGCACGTACTCTTCGTCTTACAATGTAAACTCTTGTACGGTTATCGTTGAATGTCGCACGAGTAAGTACAAAGCATCCGACGCAATAAATTAGAAAACTTACACGTAATTTCCGTTATCAACGAAATAACTATCACAATGGCTTGTGAACCTCGACACGGAGCGACGGAGAGAGTAGCAGAGGTCTTGATGGTGGCCGATAATCCGACGGTGTATAGATTCTCGGAGTACAGACGCCTCTCGATTATTGTCCAGGCGTATTCCCCCACCACTGGGAGAGGAGGGCGTGGAACCTGTCAAACGCATACTTTGTTGCCGAGTCTTTGGGCAAAAAAAAAACGAATATACGAAGGTCTAAAGCATTTCTTCCTATAAGATTATTGTCCCGACGCGGACCCAAGTTTGGAATGATAATCGAGAGTAGTCTGTAGTGTAATATTATATAGTGTCGTGTGTAAATCTGGTGCGAGTAGTCGAAACGTGCGAATACAAACTTCATCGATATACCAGAACCGTGTCAATACGCCTGTCATTCGACTTTGAATTCGGTAATGTTAACCGCGCGAATCTTCACGACTGTATCGGCCTACGTGTAAACGGTCGATGGTTTGGAACGAGTAACAAAACGCTTTTACGTAGCTTATACCTCGTGCTCGTTTACACACCTGCGTTAATTCTTTATCGTCGATCGTGTATCCTCGTCACTCCACTATAACAAATCATAAATAAAAAATAAAAAGAAACGACACCCGCTGGAAAAGGATTCGCACCGCGGAACTGCTCGAAATCAACGATCATCGTGAAATGAATACGTGTCTTGTACGAAGCAGTATTTGTCGGAGGCATATACACTAAGCTAATTTCACGGCCGTGAAACAGGCGGCAATTCATTTTAAGGTGCGTATCCGTTTGTTATGTATTCTCGTATCGTATCACAGTTGCGTACATCGATGCCCTGCGTGTCCGAATAAAAACGGAGAACACGATTTGTCACGAGAATAGACGGCGATACGATACGGGGATACGCACCTTTATTCGCACTCTCGGAGACTATTTTTTCTTCTGACGGACAATGAAATTGTTGTAAGCTTCACGACGCGAGCAGTTAAACGCCAGGAAGGCTACGCTTGTCTAACAATGGAAGAATAGGCGCGCACGCGATTGGAAGCTTCGGTGTTACGGGAACGCTTGCAAAAATATAAAGTTCGTTTACATGTACGTATGGATACGGTTTGGTGATTCGAGACCCGAAGACTTTTGATACGGTAAGAAACGTTCGATAGACCACCGACGAGGTATAAGAATAGACCTTTCATCCTATGGGAATTCATGGCCCACCTAAACTGTAGTACCGACACCTTAAAACGATGAATTCGCGGTGGATAGTGATACTAAAATTGGGCGACGTCGCCCCAGAAAAGTGAACCAAAAAATACATTGGGAAAAATGTCTAATCTCATACCTCTTCTGTGGGTCGATGTAGGTGTGTGTGTATAAGTTACGATCGATTTACAATTGTTGTTCTGTCGGCGAACCGGGATTGGTCATGGGGACCGTGTACGTAACGCGTCTCGCGATTTAAAGTACATACATCGGTGTTCCGAAGCACTGAAATTTGAGCGACGTTGGTTAAGAAACGAACGGAATCTTGCCTGGCAAGTGTTTTTCTTTTTCGGAGATCGATGACTTACGATTTAACTTTTTATAATTTCCAACAGTTTTCTCTGTATACAGATATACATACATACATACATACATATATATATGTAGATATCACAATGAAACAACGCGTCGTTTCACCTGGTCTCGTTGTTGCTCCTTATGTTCTCGAATTTGTACAATATGTTATGGCAAAGGGGGCAACGGTCTTGCACGTACAGCCATTTACGCAGACACACGCTGTGGAAGTAATGCTTGCATTGGGTGATCTTGGCGTTCTGCATCTCGTGGTAACAAATCGCGCACACGTCGTCCAACATTCGAAGCTGTTCCGCTTTCGCCTCCGGCAGAGTGTTGATCTTGTCCACGGCTGTTCGCCGTTTCATAAACACGCTCCAGCCCTCCTTCGCCTCGCACCAGATATTCTGATAAGCGTGGATGCACATCATGATGGCGCGGATAGCACCGCCGGACTCGAACACCAGGATCCAGAAACCGTTGAAGAAGAGAATGATGCCGAAAGCGAATTCGATGGTGTTCCCGAACGATCGTATGATGTAGACGCAGTCGTCCAGTTGTTCCCAGAAAGCGCTACGGTACGCGTCGGCGAGGAACAGGGAATATATCGCCAGCGAGACCAGCACCTTCACTATCACCTCGATGTTGAATACGGACACGGCCAGGAGCCACGTGCTCAAAGTGTAATGCGACCAGAGATACACAAGCACCGATACCGGGAACAGTATCAGAAACGCACAGACCACCAGTGCCCTGATATGCCGATGTAGAGCTGGATTGTGCGAGGCACTGAGAGACATTAACAATGGGTTCACAATATTGTGCACGAAGTGCAATATCGCAGTGACCAGCAGACAGATGTTACGACAAAGTCTGACTAAACGTTTGTCCTTGTCCAAGCTGGTCAGCCCGGTTTGAAGCGCCAGAATGTAGAAAAGAATCGCGGAGACGGTGCCGATGCTTTTCTCACCCTCGTCTCCCGTGAGAAGCACCCATTGGAAGAAGCAACCGATATAGTGACAAATGAACGAGACTATGCTGGTCATCCCCAAGACCGCTGTCAAGGTCTCGCAACCATTCACTGCTAAAGATTTGATCATCATGAAGTAGCTGAATGTCTCCTCGCTATAATCGTTCAGAAGAATCTGTATGACCTGTCTTCCCGCGCGTAGCATCCAAAAAGTACGCAACACGCACGGCACGTTCAATCGGATCCACTCGGTCTCGGCCAGCGCGGACAGACCGTAATTATCTATAAAATTACGCGCGTGTTGGTATCCCATATAGATCGTTTTCAGCATAGTGATGCCGTTGTACCAAAGGACGAAGTTGCATACAGTCATCGGAACGAGCGCCGCGAACACCGGGGCGTGGTGAAGAACTTGCGTCTAAAAAATAATAGTTTATACTTTACGCGAGTGCACTTCTATGCAAACAATTATTTAGGGAATGTATGTTTGATTGAACTTACTGGCAATGGATAAATTCCCAGGATCGAAGGTGCCATGAAGCTTAATACTAAAAGTTTCTGCAATACCGGATATTTCGGAGCCAGGTGGGTATAACAAAAGATGCTGGCTAATAGGCATTGCAGAATGTAATTTTGAATTACCACGAACCCAGGTCCTTCTTTTAAAATGAATGTTATGTTGAAGCACAAAATATCATCCAGTATACTAGTTGTGGTTTCTTGGGTGCTCACGTACGCTATGATAGCTTTCATTGCACTAGTGTTTGACCAATGCGATAGGACTATTACCCCAACTGATGTTAAATATAAGTATACAGTTATTAAGTGCTTTGTCCATAACATAAATGTACACAGTGCAGCAATACATCCTGGAAGAAAGCAAAGTATCTATTGGTCAATTAGCCATATTTATTAAGACTATATCATTTGTTCAATTTGAAATATTGCAATCGTAAAAGAAGAAACACAAACATCCAGTAGTTTTATGTACTTTGACTGCTATACTAATGAATGCTTCTTGATGTAACAGGAGGTTTTCCCCTCTTTTTAAATGCAGTGACCCCTACAAATTAACCCTACCATTTTAAACACAATACCATTTCACTACTGATTGTCTGTATATTTTCTGGTGTATTCAGTGCGAATGCTTTTCAATTACACATTCTACCGAACAATGATAATATAAAAAAGTATAACATAATTATAGCATAAATGTCTTACCTAAACAACAACATAAAAATTTCAATATGATCGTCAAAAATATCTTGTAGGCAACATGCCTAACATCAAAAAGTTCTATAAGAAATGAATTGGATATGGGTGGTGTTGCTGAATTAGATATAATAACTGTGCTATCTAACACTACATTTTCCTCCATTAATCCGAATTCAATTTTAAGTAGTTCATCTATGATGAATAATGGTGGAACCCTAATTATAACATCGACAAAACTCAGAAATCTCTCTCGTATGGAGCTATCCATTGTCCTTGAATGCTTTCTCCCTTGTTACGTTAATTTTTCTCTTTTTCCAATATAGTTCCAGTTATATCAATATTTCTTAGTACCTAAATCAAAATCATTAAAAATTGATGGTTTAAGAAATTTTAAGAACTTATTTGTCTCTTATTGACGCACAGGCGACAAACAATGCAAAATCATCTGCAATCTTACCTCCGAAATTTCGAGTTCTTGTTTATCGTATTCTTAAGTCGTTCTTATCTCAGATACCGAACAGAGACGATTGTTTTGGGGAAACAAGCAAATAAACTTAAATGTTTATAAAATTGTGTTTCTTGAATCAAAATTTAAATTCACAGTTCGCACACAGACAAAATTATATAAAACGATAAGTTTCGTTAAGAAGAATGTAGCAAAAATTCAAAGGTGGTCAGAAACGGTTGATTATTCGTGTCTCAATTGAAAGCGTTGCAAAACAGACGAAACGTCTTTACAATATTATGAAAAATAGTCTGTCATCGTGCGGAAATCTTGCTGACAACAGGTAGTACATACTCGCAAGTCTTCGGTCTCCGAACTCCTGTCAGTCGTGTTTTGTTTTTACTACGCCACGAACCGTTTCGTGTCCGTTAACTGTTTCTTATCCACACGATATAATCAGAAGCTACAAACACCTGCCCGTAACAGCAACAGGATTCGGAGAAAAGTACGTTTACGCGGTATGAGTCACTTTCCCTGACGTAAAACGGTGTCGCGTATTTCTTTGAGGTTACGAAGAAACATACACGGAGAATTTGAACGTTTTAAACAGATGGCGCTACGTAATTGTCACTCTCTGCGGTTAAATAGTTACCCTCTCCATTTGGACAACACAAAAATTGCCAGCTGAAACACAAATTGCGATGAAGTATATATATTCAAATAGAGTTAGGTTGTCTATAGATTCTCCGTGAATCGATATTGTGCATAAATAACCGTCGGACGTGACGTATTTCATCAATACACAATTCTTTATATAATTATTACGGTCAATACTGTTCATCATCCCCACTCCTTAGAAGGAACCGCGGCAGCAATCAAAAATTTGCAATGCCTTTAGACTCAAGAAAGAAATCATTGACTGAGGAATGTTAGTATTGATAGCATTAGAGAATTGAGATTTAAGTTAGTTATAACGGTAATTGTGAAAAGCTGGATAGATGTAGAATGTATACAGACTACGTTCCCCGCTGTTTTTCGAAAACTTTTACACTGGTTATCGCCGCCACAAATTGATATGTTCATAGACATATATGTATAATAGACTGCGCGGTCTTATGGCAGGGATGAAGTCGACACTAGAAAGAGAGGACAATAACTGGAGTAACATTCCTCTCTTTTTAATGGGGCTCTTGAGGAATCCTCCTACAGTTGTAGTGAAGACACTCAATGCGTGCAGCATTCCTTCTCTTTAAGGACCTCCAGCAGCATTTGTTGATAACCACAAGAAACTATTTTCTTAAACCAGGTTCTGGCGACAACACTTGCATCGCGATACTTGTTCATACTGTAGTTTAACGCGTATTTCATCGTAGACTTAATAACTACTTGGTATATAGAATATTAGGTGCGTAAACGAAATGGTCGATGGAACTTTTTTCATTCCGTCTATCTCTTTCGTTTGAGTATTAGCGACTACGTTGCGTTTAGTTTAAGTTATTTTGTATTAATAGCATTAATTCGTATTAATTAGAATATTAAAATAATATTAGTTCTAAGCTGAAGAACGAAGACAACCGACGAGGGAACTTAGTTTTTTATAGGTTTAGGCTCAAGAAAGAAGTCATCCGTCGAGGGATTTTAGTAGCGATAGTATTAGATAGTTAAGATTTAAGTTATTTATAAGGTTTATTGTGAAAGGTGGGTAGATGTGAAACTTGTGATTCCATCTACCTGCCTTGGGCCTCCACTCGCAGCAACCTCCTCGTGGTGAGGCCTGGGCAATCGATATTATCATCGGTAAAGTACTGTAAACTGATGACAGTACCGAGCTAATAGCTGCGAACTTCGAATCCATCTCATAAAACCACGTTCCATATTACATCGAACTAGGATTATTTTAAAAATCGACATGAGATTCAGTGTTCCAAAAATGTCTAGTACTTTGAATGTTATAGAAAATTATTCAGCGGGTCTTGTAATGCAGCTTTATAAATGAATAATTTGTATTTTATCATAAATTATTAAACAACAACCCCGCCTGTAAGTTCAGGATAGAACTGCCCTTAGACGTGTGGCGCGAGAAGATTTTGGAATTTGTATTTTCATAAACGAAGTTAGAAACTAGTACTTGTGAGAACGGGCATCAATTTTTTTCGTCCCGCATTAAATTCGAAGTTTAAAGAACGTAGAATAATACTCTCTAACGGCTGGGAACCAGTAATTACAAGAACATTGTTAAAATCAGATTTATTTGCAACGGTTGACACTGTATCTCGTCATGCGTACCCCGGTTAGTTCACTTTGCATAGCTCTTACACCGTTATACGGATAGTTTTCGTTTAGCTGAAGCACTCAATTTGTAGCTGAAAGTACCTAGATTAATCCACTATTATTGATAATAACAATAAACAACTAGAACACTGTTAAAATCGCATTTAATCGCGGAATACCACTATTTTTTCGACCGGTGGAGCCACCCGTGGCGAAACGCTTAAACTCCTAGCCAAATAATTGGCTAGTAGTTTCAGCGATTCGCCATGGATGGCGCCACCGGTCAAAAAAGTAACTACTAAATCTACTAACCACCATCTCGCAAATAAAGAAAATCTTCTAACCACCGTCCAGTAACTACTAAATCTACTAACCACCATC